ATGTAACACAAGAATAATTTTTACTGCTGGCAAGAAAATATTGTTTCGAAGAGATAGGAATCATTTAGTATCTTGAATGAAGTTAATTTAACTTGGCTGAAGAAATCCTTTTTTACAGTTTTTAGATTATTTAGATTTGAAACTAATGGTTTAAAAAACACTCACAAGGTATAAGAAGGGTACCAAGTTAGCAATGCCATCGGCTGCATTATTTATGAATTTAGTTTTAAGCTAATATTAAACCAAAAATACAAAAGTTTATACCTAGGTTATAAATCATATTGGCAAGAATAGACATGATCCTTATCGTCGAAATGTCAAGAACATATTGACACCGTATAATTAAAGCAAGCACGAGCTCTTAAACCCGTAATTTCCAATATGTTACAATTCTAATTCGTGTTTATATCGGAAACAATCATTAAGTATTACTTCCAATCACGTAAATATTTATATCAAGGGGTCCCTATAAATCTGACCACATGGTAACATATTGCGTAATTTGTACCTTCATTATGTAATTAGTGGACACTGGCACGAGAATATACAGGTGTTGGAGTCAAATCAAATTGGGGACCCTTGTGCCCCTTTGCAAACGTGTCTACTACCTGTGTTTACATACATGACTGGCTGCTGGGGGTCTGCAAGCAGATAATATATTTTTTGAGTCATTAATGTTAAGCGTAACGATTTTTATCTAATGGACTTTGACTTAAAGCTAAATGATTATTTTAATTACTTTTTGAGATTAATAAAAGGAAAAAATATGCAGTTTTTTTGAAAAACAGTTGGGACTGATAATGTCTTATGGGGAAGTGTCGGAATTTTAGTGTAGATTAAACATTGAAATAAGAATAACAAAATTCAATTTTAAAACCCTGAATTTGTCAGATCTCGTGTTGTTCTTAAATTTTGAAAATGTTTTTAATGAATACATTACAACCAATTAAATGTTCGAATAGTTCGCACTAATAAAGCGACATTCTTCTCGAATTTGATTTTTCAAGTCTTTTACATTTTGTGGTCTGTTGATGTAGACCTTTGAAACCAAATGGTATCACTTGGTATATGGGCGAATTTTCGTTAAATGTACATTTTGTATATATATTTTGTCCAGGCAGGTCAATTTGATCGATTTTTTTTCCTTTGTGATAGAACAGTGTAACTGCAAAAAAATTCTAGTTTATAAATAACAAAAATAAACTTTAAAGAAATAAAACTTATAAGGTTAATCTGAAATAGGGAAGGAACACAAGGAAGAAATTAAACATTGTCCTCCTCCTAACGCATCTTCCTGAACGTTTTATGACACATTGCTTTTGACTTTTTCAAACGTTATTTTTCAGAAATACTGTTAAATGTAAATATCTTTCGGCATTTGTTTGGAATTTCTACTATGCTATAATACAAAATGAAAATAAAAAAGTTAACTTCTAAAACAAGAGTTTTATGTAGCGTTTTGTAAAAGACACCAAAAGTGTACGCAAAAAAATCTTACCTTTAAAATATTTATAAAAAAAATTACACACTTTACACGTGCTCACTTGTTGTTGCCGAACTATCAAACATGTATGCCCTCTCGTGTCTCTATTTCGAAGCAGTCGGCATAGAAGACGACGTTAGGAAAAAGACAAGATTTTTGAATGTCAACTTTAATATTTTTTTCTGTTTAAACTATTTTATTTTTATATACGAATAAAAGAACTTTCCATTGTTCAAAAATAATTTATTTTTTCAGAAGAAACCTGCAAAGAAGAAAATATAATAATTTAAATTAAAAAATCGCCTATGGGGACAGTTAGGTTACAGGACATTTCACCTAGTTTTTCTGCCATATATAGAAACATAAAGTAATTACAAAAAAATACGATGGGTCCTAACAGGAAGGGGGTATTTAAATATAATAAATACAAAACTTATCAACAAAGGTCAAAAATAAAAATAAAATTAGCTGGGGACAGCAAATGTACATGTAACGAAAATTTGCCCATATCTGGACCTCTATTCTCATTGGGAAACATTTCTGCTAATGTGGGAAGAAGAAAGTTTTGCAAAAATTCCAAATAGTATTTTACGAGAAAAGTGTGAATTATTGTTAATAAATTCACCATGGTTAACAAAATTGAAGTCTACGGTCCGGATCATCTTCGTTAAGTTCCTGCACTAGTCTAATTTTGTATGGATGGTACTTTTCTTTCTTCAAAATAAGTAATACTGAGCGTTGGCTGACTTGACTTTCAGCTGCGACTAGGCTAGAAGCACTATGAGGATCTTCTTCCACACGTAACAAAATGTCAATTTTAGTGTCTTCACTAATCCCGGACGGCCATGATTTGGAATATCTTTGACATGTCCAGTCTCTCTGAATTTCCGTTCAATTTTACTAACCGTGGTACGAGCATATTTAAATGTGTAGGGTATACCTACACATTTAAATATAAGTATACTTCGAAATATATTTAGAGAACGCTTGAGAAATAGATACTTCACTGACAATACAATTCATTATAATTAGAACCAATAAAATGCCAGTATTCCATAGTTACGCATTTAATCACAGCGACAATATTTTTTATCACCTTGTTTACAGGTTGCTAAGGATTTTGACACTTTTATTGATTTGACTTTTAAATACTGTGTTTGTTACTTAAATGATTAAAATAATGAATTATAAACTCTAAAAGATCGATGGGTTGGTGTAAACGATAATAAAATTAAGGTAAGTTTGAATAAATAAGGTTTATTAAAGTCTTTTTATATTTCCTGCGGACTCGTGAAATCTGCAGCTCGGTTTCAATTCGAAAATATCATCGATGATAATCATACCACTTGCTTGTTATATTCTGGGTGAAAGTTTTTATATCTAGTAGTGAATATTTTAACCTTTTAATAAAAACTATAATTTTTTAATGAATTTGTATAAGGGTTCGTATTATTTGAAACATAAACAAAAAAATATATAAATAAAATGGTGAACGAATATCGAATAAATGATTAAGGTTTCGTGTCGTATTGTGGTAAACATTAATATTTAAGGACCGTCGCCAACTGATTAGGCCGCCATTGCTTCGATCTTCTGTCATGCCATTGGCGATCCCTGGGATCGACCCATTAATATTTTATCGTGAGAACCCAACAAATTTACCCAGTGCTTCTTTATACTTAAACGAACCATTTAAGTACTGAATATGTTTAAAATATTGTCCAATTTTAAATTAATTTTTTCACACTGTCACATTTTACCAAATGTTTTGTAAAGGTAATATGCAATTTTGTAAGCATTTTGTTGATTACAGATTATTTTGTTAATTTTTAACAAATTATTTCGTTGAAAAAGTTCAGGCAGTCAATCAAAACATTTCCCACTGACAATACGCATCAACAAGTTCAACTGACTTCAGCGTCTGCAACTTATGTTTCGCTTACTTTATTCTAATTCGTAACAACTGTCCAGAGTGTTTATAATACACTCACAAGCAAAATAATCGATCCACACAAATTTTAGATGAGTTTCAATAGCAAATAACTTTTTTATTTGATTTCGAATTTAAACAAATATTAAAGAATATTGTAGATACATTAATGGAGAATCGCTCAAATTTTAAAAATTAAAAAAAAATACACGTTCGTTTATAATATACAGGTTTAAACAAAAAGATGTTTTTTACCATAAGTTTAAGACACTCTCACAGTGGCAAAACCGTATATTGTTCTAAATTAAGTTTTAATTATCAAGTCATATGTGAAAAATATGGATTTTTTTAAAAAAACATTGCAATTTTCAATATTTTTCCTGTATGAAGAACTAAGGTTGCTATGGTCCATCCATGGAAGATGACAGTGACAGTTTTGTTGAATCATCCCATACTTGAACATGTCAAATACAACTTTCAAAAGCTATTAAATTGTTTTTTGTAAATTAATGTGTTAATTTTGAGGTGTCTTCTTACTTTTAAAAATGTCTCCGACTGATGTTGCCCTTTGTACTTTACTTCTTGTGACGTTTAAAACACTTGCCACGTAATACTGTGACCGTCCATCCTGGATTAAATTAATGGCTCTGGCAACATCAGTCGGAGACATATCCATTTTTAAAAGTAAGAAGACACCTCAAAATTTAAACATTAATTTGCAAAAAACAGTTTGATAGCTTTTGAAAGCCGTGTATGACATGTCCAAGTATGGTATGATTCAACAAAACTGTCACTGTCATTCTCCATAACCTATGGATGGACCATAGCAACCTTAGTTCTTCATACAGAAAAATATTGGAACTTGCAATGTTTTTTTTTAAAAATCCATATTTACCACAAAAATAAATATATCGAGGTGAACCAAAATCAAAACTGTTAAAAATGGATGCGACTCTTAAACTTATGGTAAAAAACATCTTTTTGTTTAAACCTGTATATTATAAACGTACGTCTATTTTTTAGTAATTTTTTAAAATGTGAGCGATTGTCCATTAATTTATTTACATCAAATAAAAAAATTATTTGCGATTGAAATTCATCGAAAATTTGTGTGGATCGATTATTTTGCCTGTGAGTGTATATTACCATAAATCTGTTATTATTGTCAATTGGATTCCTTATACCTCTTTAACGAGTGTGCGAAGTATACGAAAAAAGATGCCATCACTTATTTTCAAACTGACATTAGAGGATACAGTGAAGTGGATTAAAGTTACGAAATTACGAAATACATCAGTGTTGTAGTAGTACTGATAATTATATTCTACCAAATTTCTTTATAATTGATGATTTGATTTTTTGTGTTCATTTATGTAATTTTTTTGTTTAGGAAATTGATTAATAAAGCAACATTTCTTATTAAAATTCTTTTTATTTAAGTTCCTAATTTCCAACAAATACTTTTCTTACTGGGTCTACAAAAAGGTTTGTAAAAATTAGGTCCTTTAAATTAACAACTATTTTTTTACTGTGTACCAACAATTCAAGGCTTTAATAAATCAGTTTAATTTATTTCTTAGTTTTTTAATGGAGGACTCCAATTCATGTCTTAAAAGTGACAATCTATGCAAAGTATGTGGGGACAAAGCCTCTGGTAAGCACTATGGAGTTGCTAGTTGCGATGGCTGTAGAGGGTTTTTTAAACGGAGCATTAGAAGGTCTGTAAAAAATACTAGACGAAAAAAGTTTAAATTAATAATTCAGTGATTTTTCGTTAGAAATCTGGAATACTTGTGTAAAGAAAACGGACGCTGTATTGTCGATGTCACCAGAAGAAATCAATGTCAAGCCTGCAGATTTAAGAAGTGCTTGGAAGTGAACATGAAAAGAGATGGTAAGTTTATAATAATATTTATATTTCTAACATTTTTTTTATTAAAAAACAGTAGACCTAATGCAAAAATGATAGAGGAAAAACCTGTGTAGATACTCATTTAATTAAACACTCTCTCGCTAATTAAAATTCGTGACTAACATGGCCTTTATCGAACTTGATTCATAATACAGTTAATTATACTTTTCGAAACAACCTCATTCGGTTAATTATTTAAACAAAATCGCTAAAGCATTTGGTTGGTAATGAGAGCGATCGGGGGGCAGCAGAAGCCGCCCCCGCCCCGCCCCCTATGCCTGGCGCAAAAGTCAGCCCATCAAATATTTAAGCGGCGTGTTGTATATATATAATCATCATTAACTTTGGCGGCGCTAACGATCCGCGGTTGGGGAAGCGGGGGTGGGGGGACTGGGGGGCAGGATGGCGGTGACTTGCGTACACGGTTGCCAATGCACCTGACTTTTCACACGAGGTACGTGACTTATTCACTTATTCTGCTTGATAATAGGCAAAATGGAAGAAAGCAAACTTGGGCAGTTGTATTTAAATATTCATTTATAGGGTTTAAATTATTATAATTTTTTTTTAATATTGTTAATAGGTTTTATAATATCATGAGACAAATAGAATTACGATAAGGCTATCAAGAATAATTCTATAGTCTAACTTCACAATTATTGTGTTCTATTAAGCATTAGGAAACTTATTGTAAAATTGTTTGTGATTGGTAACCTTATACGAGGTGTGTTCAGAAAATAACAGGAATTGTTAAATTTCGCGGGTTCGGAGGGTCCGGTTGTCATAAAATTTTCTTTATTATGTTGGTATACATGCCCCCGAACTTTAGCTGTTTTCATTTGTTTACTTTGTCTGTGGCAGCCGCGAAGGTTAGACGTGTTTTATGAGCTCGGCGATTTTTCGTTCGTTAAAAGAAATGGATCAAAGAATTTTTATCCAATTTTGCTTAAAAATTAAATAAATTCTGTGAAATGTTAACAAAGGCCTATAGTGAGTCTGCTATAAGTAAAACAAGAGTTTACAAGTGGTATAAGAGTTTCCAAGATGGTCGTGAAGACGTTGAAGATGACGAGCGCCCCGAACGCACAAGCACATTAACAACCGATAAAAACATGGAAAAAGTGGAAGAAATGGTTATAAACCATCAGAGAAGTCGCTGATGATGTTGGTATATCGATTGGCTCATCCCATGAAATTTTTTCGAATGTTTTGGGTATGAAACGCGTGGCAGCAAAATTTGTTCTAAAATTGTTAAATTTTGAACAAAATTTTTGGCCAAAAACAATACTGTAATGATGCCCCAGCCTCCATATTCACCAGACATGCCTCTGTCTGAATTTTTCCTATTCCCAAAAATAAAGAGAACCTTAAAGGGCCGTCGATTTGCAAGCATAGATGACATTAAAAGCGCATCGCTGAAAGAACTAAAGGCTATCCCAAAGATCGAGTTTTAGAAGTGTTTCGAGTATTGGAAGAAGAGCTGGCACATGTGCATAATATTCAATGGGGACTATTTTGAAGGCGACAACATTAATGTAGACGTATAAATAAATATTTGTTTCAAAAAACGAAAAGTTCCGATATTTTCTGAACACACCTCGTATATTATGAAGAACTTCTAAAATAAAAAAGAAATCAATATTAAAAATCAATGCAAAAATTACAATTACCTTGGTCACTTCAGGCACTATAGATCTTTAAACCCAATAAATCCTCTTTTTTCTCTATGACATAGGTAGAAATTTTATTTTTAAATTTTCCTGCTTGTAGTAAAAGCCGTGTACGCATAAACACTATTTACCTAGAAAAAGGCAGTTCTTTTTCTTCACTGCAACTTCTTGCAACGAGATGAAATTCAGTAACAATGCACAAAAAATGAGTTCATAATATAGAACCACCAATGTAAATTTATATATGTCAAAATTAACGAGGGAATAACAATCTTCGAAAAGTAAGAAATTGAATAATAATTGAATTATTTATTAAAAAACTTGAAGACATAACCTTAATTACTTACTCAAAAATGTAAAGCCGTTTAAAACTTTATTAGAAACGAAGTTGGCCAAAAATAATTCTACTTTAGTAGTCTTTATTTTCATGTAGTTTTGTGCTATCGCGTTGGGAAATGATTGACATAAAATATGTCAATTTTTGGTCAAACTTAATGAAACCCCAATAATATATCGTACGCAAAACTTAGTTGGGAAAAAGTTGACTAATTTTTTCCCCAAATCATGGTTCTCTGGGTATAGGTAAAACGTTTCAATTAAATCAATTTATCCCGTCAAAAACATCTGCTCAAACGTAAATATCATTACCGAATCAAACTCCTAACTTGTCATTAAACAAAAGCTACCACTTTGTTTATTTCACCTTCACAGTTCTCATCCCCTGTTTGCTAATTGATCGCTTCCTCACACTCCCTTTTATTCATAAGCACACTTCACTGACCCCAAAAACAAACACTAGGGTTACGAAAAGTTAAAATAATAATTAAGGAAAACATAGAGATTTTGGTGGATATGAGGAAACAATGTATACTTTGGTTAAAACTTCATAATGAATTTTTTTGCAAGTTAAAAGTTTCAAGATTTATTTGCTTTATTAAATTTGGTGAAAAGACCCAGAATCTGGGTCCCAGATATAAAGACCCTAAAGTCAAATGTTTAGCTGTTCAGCACGAAAGAGCTCCAAGGTCCACTCAAAGCAATCTGCACCATTATCCATTGGGTTTGTCGGCAAGGTACAGGGCCTTGCACGGTTCAACGTTGTTCTCCAGTCTACCCATGCATCTACAGAATCCTCCGATGCTGGACACTCCTTTGAATTCTTCAGCAGGATTATCCTCCCACTACTTGCATCAAGGTTTGCTGTATCCAGGCATGATCGGAGCCTTCTCTAAACCCATTTTGCATTCAGGATTAAGTAAGTTGATTATTTATTACATCCCAAGCACGATACACTAAAATCGGTATGCTGATGCGCATGTTATAGCTATCTCTCTCGCACCGTATGACGTTATGTGCGAACCAAAAGCTGGCGGGTAACTGGGTTGGAATGTTATTTGCACCAATCCAAATTTATAAATATAGGGCTGGGTGCCATTATTAAGTGTAACAAATGTTAAGAGAAAGTTAAATAGGCAGCAAGCGCTTTTAATACTAATATAACATATTTTAAGTAACAATTAATTTCCTACCTTTATATTAACTTAACTTAAGCTAGACCGAATTTTACATTTTTTCAATCTCAAAACTGCTTTTTTTGCTTGTGACACTTTTGAAGCTGGTTTCCGATACAATTGTGTTTTAATTTTTATTATTAGTAAATCCAGACCAAATTTTAAAATTTGCCTGTACATAAAAAGCTATAGCTTTTACGGGAAAAGCTGCTGGCAAAAAAATTTCTGGGTGTCAGGCCTATTTGGGGCAAACAAAAAAAATTTATTAGGGTATAATTTTTTTGCATTTACCATTTTTTTATAATTTAATTAATAATTTATGTATACATATATTATAAAAAATTGGTAAATGCAAAAAAATTATACCCTAATAAATTTTTTTTGTTTGCCCCAAATAGGCCTGACACCCAGAAATTTTTTTGCCAGCAGCTTTTCCCGTAAAAGGGCCCCTACCAGATTTTTGATACGGGGCCCCCTACGCCACTGGTAGTGGCTAATACTTTTTATATTATATTATAAACCCTGTTTATTCTCTTTTACCAGTTTAGTTACTTTAATAAAATATGTCTTATAGTAGAAATTATACAGTTCTTAGAATTATTATACTTACTTACTGCATTAAGTCATGACAGGATAAGGGTCGTTATATAAAAAGTTCAAATTATATAAATTTTATACTTTTATTATAAAACACAGGTACAAGAAATAAATTAAACATAATTAGGTATATAATACCTATGAAACGAAAGTTATACACAAAAGTTTGGTATTTTTAATTTGGATATATCATCTACAATTCTTAAGTTTTTTAGTATTTAAAATAGCCTTTCTACTTCTACTTCAAACTATTTAATGTGGAAAAAGAATATTTTTTTGTAAATATGCAGGAAAAATGGCAGGCAAATTTTTTTATTTTTTATTTTGACCCAGCCCCAATGTTAGGAAAATGGGTTTTTATTAATAAAACAGTTTTGGAATTTTAATTAAATCTGTTATTATAGAAAAAAATTATAATAAATATAATAAAAAAAAAACAATTTCATTGTAAGAGTTTTAGATAACTTTTAATGTGTACAACCTTCTATTAAAGTTATTTTATAATTTGTTTAAGATGTTATTATAAAAGTTTGGACCTAAACCTCGAGACATTTTTCAGGTTTTAAAAATAAAACAATTTTGGGGTGAATTTTACATCAAACAATTATATTATAATTTTAAATAAAACACTTTTTAACCTAAGGCTTATGCTCGTTTCATAATGTATAATTATTACAAAAACTTACCCTTAACACTTGCCAGCTATTAGAGCCAGCAGATCGTCACCCTAATATAACAAGGTTGTATGTTAAAAAACCGAAAAATTTTAGTTTATACTTCTACAAGGTTTTATGTAATCCACCCTTGACATACAACTTAAAAATCACTCTATATATATGTATACATAGAATATACATTCTATAGAATTATTTTTAAGTGAAGCGTAGGCCACGTATAATCCTGTAGAAACATAGACTTAAATTTTGCGTTTTTTTTAACATACAACCTTGTTATATTAGGGTGACGAGATGTCACAACAAATAAACAAAACACTACAGCCAGAGACACTTATTCTGCTACAGCCACAGACACTTATTTCTAGGTCAGCTCGCATCTCCCCTATAGTGATCCCGCCAAAACAATGCACCATGCGCATGTGCGTAATATCTGGTACCATAGAGTATAAAGACGACTATTAAACAGCTGTTTTATAGTCGTCTTTATACTCTATGGTACCAGATATTACGCACATGCGCATGGTGCATTGTTTTGGCGGGATCACTATATATATTTTTTATAAGAATTATAATATGTCTGTTAATATACTAGTATATTAACAGACATATTATAATTCTAATAAAAAAATATAAATTAAAATATATGCTATCTGCAAGAAATCATTTCATAAACAATATGTTTCTAGATTATAGCCAGTATTAAACAAATGAAATAAAATCAAAATTATAACAGGTACTACACAGCTTATTGTCTTCATAAACGAATTTGATTCTAACTAAGCATCCTCTTATTGTCTTTATAAAACTCGTCTTAACAATACTGGTTTATTGAAACATTTCTTTCAGTGTAAGCAAAACTGTTTGTAACATTTGAATTTGGTTCGCACGTGACGTCACAAGCGCGGAGTCGACAAGTTTTCGTTTCATAACCAGCTTACAACCAGAATACAACTTAAACTTTGTATAAAAATAAATTATTTAGTTATGCCATCAGCTCCATCGTATATCCAAAAACCTTCAGCATTTCTCAACACTGTCAACATAACCAACAGAAGTGGAGTCAAAGATGATGAAGTAAGTAGTTCTGAGGAAATAACACAGGAAAAATGTACAATGGAAGGTAATTTATTTAAAAAAAAATTAAAAAACACTTAAATATCTTAACACTCTTAGCTTCGCCCAGTGATGACTCTAAATCCCGTTTGGAATTGCCCATAATCAACGAAAATTGCAGACCTACGAGGCAATTTGACTTGCCCAATCTGGGCATCTTCCCAGCTGAAAACATTTACGAATCGTCGGCAAAGTTGCTGTTTTTGGCCATTAAGTGGGCTAGATCTATACCGTCTTTTCTTCAAGTAAGTACCTGTATCTACCAATAAATTATAAATTTATATTTATATTACCCATTACTTATAGAAAAGTATTTTCTTCCTATTTCTTCAACACAAACTTTATTTTAGTACAATTCAAAAACTTTGTTATATTTTAGTTATCTTATAGAGATCAGTCTCTTCTCCTAGAAGAAAGTTGGAGGGAACTTTTTGTTTTAACAGCAGCCCAGTGGATTCTTCCCATTGATGAAGGTACGTTTTTTGTTGTACTGATAAAAATATGGTTGTTTTTCGAGAGGAAATCCTGCCCTCTTAAAATGAATTGAGGCGTTTCTCGGAAAAACATCATTAGTCCAAAATCGTCGAAATTTAGATATTAGCACCAACTGTTTCCTAACCTCCATATATACGTATACAAATAAGTGTTTCTCGTAAAAATGTCATAGGTTCCATAATAATTAAATATGAAATTTAGCTTGTTCTTCTAAAAACATCACAAGTCCACTCCGTTTCGTCTAAGAAAGTCACATGTGCATAACATGTGACTTTCTGCATACGATCTGCCAATACCAATTAATAAAACAAACACTCTAGAAAAGCTTCTACCTCTTTTACATGACCACAGCAATAGAAAATCGTATGATACCTTGATAAAAGACCAGAAGACCATAGCACCTGACAGTCCTGATAACACGGTCGACAACGATGATAACAGCAGTGGATGCGAAGACTGAATGTGGCAGTAATACAGTTTTTAGCTTTTTCATTTATTTTGTTACTCAGAGTTAATATTAAGTTTGTAGTAAGGACAATTGTTCGTTTTTTTCTTCTAAAAACCTCACATGTTCATGTATTTTTTGTGTTTTTTTCATATTCGTTTGAAAAAAAAACATGAGGAATTCTGGACAAAGTATCTTAATTTTTTTTACATGTAGTGAATAGGTCAATAAAGTACTTTGGTCAAAAATGGGAATGTCGGAGAGTTTTTTTCATTTTCCCAAATATGTTAATTTTGGACTAATGATGTTTTTCCGAGAAACGCGTCAATTAGTCAAAAATAACTAGTTATAAGTCATATTTGTCTAATTGTCATAGCGAACCCTATCTATCAAGAGTGGTTTTTTAGTCTCTCCCACCTTTATTGTTAGGATTCCCGTTCCCGTTCCCGTTACCTGGCTAGTGTGCAGCGGGCTTTAGTTCTTGAACATTTACAATTAAAAACACAATAACTCACTATGATCACTTGGATAAAATACACACACTAACGTAACTATATAAGCATATAAGAGTTTCTTAATCAATGATATACAGAATAATAAATCGAAATCGAGTACTAAACCAAAGTTTTTCAGTTTTTACCTGCAACGCAGCGCGATTTAGCTGTGCAATTGAAACTTTGCGATCTACTTCTTGTAATATTTTTGATTAATAAATAAATTGAAAAAAGAAAACTTTTTTTAGTTTTTCTTTTTTATTTTTAGTTGTATTATTGGGAAACGCCGTAGCACCAACTAGTCGTCAAAATCTTTTGGAAGAAGATGTCCGAAAACTTCGAGAAATCATAACCCGATTAAACTTGTTAAGGGTGGACCACACCGAATATGCTTGTTTGAAAGCTCTGGTTTTATTTAAAGCAGGTAAATATTGTTTACATATTTTTACATACCTACATACAGGGTGTCCCAGAATCGCGTCACAGAGAAAACGTGCCGAAAGTTATGCTAAACACATACTTAAAAATTAAAATTATCTAAGGCAAAAGATAACGGAGATAAGAATAAAAAACAATGGCCAATCCCAATACATGGTCATAGGGACTTCTTTAAATTGCTAGGATACTTAGGATGCATTGTTGATATTATATATGGGTCATTCCATCATTTCGGGTGTTACATTTGTTCAACCAAAGTATAAATTGTTATGTATTTTGAAATAATATTTTAGCAATTAGTGCCTTATTCTCTACGTTTTTAGTTGTTCTATCTAAATTCTAAAATTAGTACAGTTTAGCATAAAGGATAACAATTTTATAAGTCAAAAAGTGTGCGTTTTGGGTGTTTCATTCATTTTGCCTCTATGCGCATGTCCTGACCATTGTTACATTTATTTTAAATTCAGCGTATTTTTTTTAGGGAAAACATTCCTTAAAATTACAGGCCTCCAAAAGTGTAATATTTACTAACAATCTACCACATAATCACTGTCACAAGTAATGTTTAACCTTTACTCAATGGTTTTACTATTTTTTATAAAATTTTACTGTGTTTCGGGTGTTACCATGGTTCTGTTTCGGGTGTTACAAGTACAAAAAAACTACAAAATCGTTGTTTTATTAGTCTCTAAGCACAACAAAATAAGTAAGTAACAAATAAACCTAAATAGAAAGAATTCTCCTTCGGCAAAACGGTTAAAATCTTTATTATTGCCAAAAATCGGTCCGTTGCCATTTTGGTAGAAATAACGAAATTTCGGTTGGTTCGACAAATCCATCGTAAAAGCACTGTGCAAAACTGTTAATTTTCAAGATACATTTTGATTTATAACCCTTATAATTGTGTTTATAAAATGTAAAAATGTGACATTTGACAGTTTCCCCTTTTGTTTCATAGATGGCGCTCTATACAAATTTTTGATTTAACCCTTAAATGCATCGCGTTGCAAATTTGCTACGCTCCGAGAACTCTTATAGTAGACATACTGTATTACTTGTATTGGCTTGAATGCATGGTGTAGCATATCTGCAACATAGTGAAGTATTTGGTTAAAATTTTTATTTGACCATAGATGGCGTTTGAATGACGTTTTATTTAATTGTTTACTGAACAGCTGTTCGTAGGACATGTTGTATTGTTGCCAAGAAATAATAATTAGTATTGGCGCAATTTATGCCCAGATTTTAATAAAAAAATATTCTACTGTATAAGAAAGGTATATACTTTTATGTAAATAATTATATTGATAAAAAAAACTGTTAGTCATTGTTCTTTTTCTGAAATACTGATTGTAGCATATCTGCAACAATATGCACTAAGGTCCTATATATTTTGTAGCATGAGTAGCAAAAAAGGTCTGACGGATGAGGAATTAGCAAAGATATTAGCGAACTTATCAGAAAGTGAGGATGGTCTGGACTTTTCAGACACTGATAGTGTGGCTGACCCTCCATATTTACCGAGTGACGACGAAGATGATGCAAGAACTGCCAGTCCAATAATTTTCGCAAATGAAGAGGATGAAATTGAAAGTGAAAGTGTCTTGGAATTTGATCAACCCTCCACTTCAACGGCTACGCAAGACACGTTACCCAAGTCCAAATCTCAAAAAGGAAAAGGTAAATCTAAACAGAAGAAAGAGAAAGTAAAATGGAACCATGTGGGTATCAAGCTAAATGAAGAACAACTTACCTTTCATGGATCTACAGACCTTCCTTCTGCTATTTTAAATTTGGAGACACCATACAGCTTCTTTAAGTACTTTTTCACTGATGAACTGTTTGATCAAATAGCATCAGAAACCAATTTATATGCTACTCAGAAAGACCCAAGCAAGCCAACAAATTTCACTGCCCGAGATATCGGAAATTTTATTGGGATTTGTTATTTTATGTCTTTAGTAAGTATGCCAAATACACGATCATACTGGAGTGACGATTTATGTTTTCCTCATGTTCAAAATACTATGCCAGTAAACACCTTTGAAAAAATTCGTCGTTTCATACATTTCAATGATAACAATAAACATCTGCCAAGAGATCACGCAGATCATGATAGGTTGCACAAAATCCGTCCCATTATTGACCATCTAAATGAGAAATTTTCCAATGTCCCTTTGGAAGCCCATAGTTCAATCGATGAGCAGATGTGCTCCACCAAAGTTCGGCACTTCATGAAGCAGTATATGCCAAAAAAGCCACATAAATGGGGTTTCAAGTTATTCGTTCTTGCAGGTGTGTCAGGTTTTGCTTATCGATTTGAAATATATTCAGGACAAGAAAACTTACATCAAAGACCTGATGATGAACCGGATCTTGGCGCGTCAGCCAACGTTGTTGTACGCTTGTCAAGGATAATACCAGAAATGCAAAATTATAGGCTATATTTTGATAACTATTACACATCTTTATCGCTTGTAGCGTACCTTGCCAAACGGGGTATTTACACTCTGGGCACCATCAGACGAGATAGAATACCCAATTGTCCATTGCCAACTGATAAAAGCCTAAGTCATGCAACACGTGGTAAAAGTGATGAGTTTACAACCCTAGTTGATGGAGTAGAGGTGTCGGCATTGATATGGAAAGACAACAAATATGTTACCATGCTATCAACATTTGCTGGAACAATTCCAAAAACATATGTAAAACGTTTTGATAAGAAACAAAAAAAAAAGGTTGACATAGATTGCCCTTTTGTAATTCAAGAATATAACAAGCACATGGGTGGGGTGGACCTTATGGACAGCAACATTGGAAGATACAAAATCAGGAATAAAAGCAGAAAGTGGTATTTGCGTCTCTTCTACCATTTACTTGATGTGACAATGGTCAATGCATGGCTGTTATACAAACGAGCCTCCATTGGAAAGGATAATTTTAACACCAAACTCTTATCACAATCACAATTCAGAAGTGAAGTCGCGAACTGCTTGTGCAATGTTGGAGTTAACAAAAAACGTGGTAGATCAAGAATTGAACAAGAGATTCAAGAGAAGAAAGCTAGAGGTCCAGCTCAGCACACCCCTCCCCAAGACATACGCACTGATCAAGCAGGTCACTGGCCTTTACTTGTCGAAAAAAGGGTCAGATGCAAATTTCCCAAATGCAACGGGTTCACCAGCATCATTTGTGAAAAGTGTGGAGTGACGCTATGTTTTAACAAAAATAAAAATTGTTTTAGACTGTTCCATACATAAACATCTTTTTTGCATAAAGTTGCATATTTGCTACATATTGTTTTTTTTTCAAAATATTTTTTTTTTTTTGATTTTGATTTTTTTAATTATTTTTCCTATGTTATATTAGCCATTTGAAAACGTTTTATGTATATTTTGTATAAAAATAAAATCATATGCATTTAAGGGTTAAATCATTTTAAGATAATAATAAGTATTTGTCGTAGAAAAAGTATAGTTTGCACCTCGTTTATAAACTTTTCTATACACTCATTTAGTTAGGCACTCGCTCGCAAGCTCTCTCGTGCCTAAATTAAATTCGTGTATAAAATGGCGTTTATCAAACTTGATACATAATTTACTATTAATCACAACGTGGCAAAACGGTTGACAGAATGACAGTTATTTTTTTTCGTATTTCCATAAAAAACTGCAGTTAGGGGCACAATGGTCATTCATCCAGTTCACTTGAGTACAGATTTTAAAGACTAATTAACTTAAAAAATACGCGTTTCTTTTAGTTTTTCTTGTCACATTATAATTTGGAATGTTTTCTTTTAAAATTCATCATAATGCGAAAAGAAAATATTTATTTTTTCACCCTCAGTATCGCTTGTCATGGAATGCCCAAGTAGCACAAACGCGCTGAAAATTGTCATATACCTTACTATATAACAATTTTTAATATAACACTTTTATTTTAAAAATAACTGGTAACCTTTAATATGGCGCTTATAAACATGGAAAAGGCGCAAGTTTATAAAACAATTGTATCCGATAGACGTTATATAATTATCGCCCATGATAATTATATAACAATATTTAGCATTTTATAAAAACGTTACATAACAGTTTTTTAATAGAGCTGTAAGTGAGGTCCCGGATGATCCTAAACAACATTTTTGTGTTCTTTGACAATACTATATATCTTTCGTTTCAAAAGGTTATTAGTGGTAAAACGCCATTACAGAATACTTATAAAATAATTTTATAGCAGCATTAAAAACGTTTCATTTAAAAACAATCTGTGTTGCATAGGACTTTAACAACTTAGCGATGACATTTTGATTTTGTAAGAATCACGAAAAACTTTATTTTTATTTTTATACGATAATAATGGCGACAAAAATGATTTGTTAAATGCTCTCATGATGCTCTCCTAAATTATTTGGTTGATGGCGGCTTGATGAATTTCACAGGCTTTGGATAGTATATAATAAATTCATGAACAATATTAAAGGCTCTGATTGTAAAATACTCTTACCACGTCAACTTTACTGACATTATACATATATATTTATGGTTAAATTTTACAGCGCTTCCAATTTTGCCCATATTTACCAAATTAAAAAAAAATATTATTATTTTTTAATTTTTTTTGTTTCTAATAAAATTAAAAAAATATTGCATTGCGTTTTGTTGCACTCTAAATGCCAAATCCGATGTTACAATCGAAACTTTCAAAAGACTTTATCGATATTAATGTGATTTTTCGTATTTATGACAATATGGTTGCCTCGAATATAAAGTTCATTTTGATTTGAACAATGAAAAACATGGCGATTTGAATTAAATCATTTTTATCCCTTACGACATACCTATAAAATTAAACTGTGTTTGAAATTCGTTTTATAACACAATTCTGATATATAATTTATCTATATAAAAGTCGTCGCGAAAACAAAATTGTTTCTCACCTATTTTATCAGCTACAATGTTGTCAAAATGTCAAATATTTTTTTAATGTTCTAGATACCTACGAAATTATATTTTGTATAGATATTATTGCCTTTTTGTTTTTATAATCATTTTTTTCGAGAAATTTAGAATTCATCAATCCCTGTAGAGTTTATAATCGTTATTGTTGGCAGGGATGTGTCGTAGAATATCGAATACATTTTACCAAGTTTAACTGCTAATAGCATCATCAAGAGACGATTAATGAGTTTTAATCAATTTATGCGAATATTGTGTAGGTCTCACTCATATATTTAAAACATATTAAATATATGGTCTCACTGCATGCTACCTACAATCAATCCAACAGAAATTATGGTAACTTCGGCAATACCGCATCTCCAGCAAACACGTTTAAGATTCCAGGTTCCCATTTTTTAATATGGTGGCAGCACCATCGAATATCGAATGTTTTATTATGACATTAATAAAGAGGTAATAAAACAATATTGTTTTTTAAAACTCACTACAATTACCTTAAATAACACTTTTGTTATAAAGTACTTGTTATGATAATGTTATTCGATAATTTTGTCTAAGTTCATGTAAATCTGTTATTTAATGAGGTTTTGGTGATCAACACAGGTGTTTATTAGGTTTACGGTTATTTTTGTCAGTGCTATTTTAAAAATAGTATTTTTCAAACGACTGTGTGTTTAAAATCTAGTGTACGTGCCGTGATTCACAGACAAAAGACAAAGCAGTAGCCTCTAGCAGTTTTTAATAATGTTCTTGGATCTTTTGGAAGAAGATTAGGAATTCTGTCATTGAAAATACCAAAAAGCTCCCTTAATGCAAAATGACTAATATTACAGGAAGTAGCCCATAGTCGGATGCGCTGATTCACCTTAATATTTTTACTGATTTCGGACAGCTCTCTTCTTCGTCACTTGAATCTACAAGTTCTACATTGGCACTTCCTTTATCATAAGTTCCAAGCTCTAGTTATAAGCCATGGCTTTCAGATCTTCGAAGAACTTGAATTTACATTTTGATGTTCCAAATATGTGCTAATAGATTCCAACTTAGCAGTAGATGATGATGTCGCGACTATTTAATAGCTATCTTTCACTCTTTTTCTGAAATTACCACTACGTTTAAGCTTTTTCCAATTAGAAATTAGACTACTCGACATTTTATAGCTTTGCAGTAGACTGATGAATTCTGAATTAGCATAAAAAGTTTGGTTAGTTTGGTTAGTATTATAATGAAGCTATATAGGAATATCGCATAAGATAAAATTGCGATTTTAAAGCGCTTTTTATTTTATTAGCTACTTTTAATTATTTTATACAAGCGTCATTAAATATAATAATAAAATACTTTTATTAAAGTGGTTTTGAACGCAAAAATGTTGCAATTTGCAAATTGTTTTAAAAGTAAATCTCCAAAACAGCTATAAAATCTTGTTATAAAGCTCTTACAAAAAATAAAATTTTATTTTTGTTATGGTATCCTGCACCCCCAATAAAATCATTTTAAATCAATTATAAAATAAATTTAGCTCAAGCGTAAATAGATAGATAACTATTGATTTATAACCATGTATAACACATTTGATTCGAAGCCTTTAAAAATGTTTTATTAATCAGTCTCAACAACAACTATAAAACACTTTAATAAAATATATCAGTTTCCAAAGCATATTGGTGACCTTGGCGAGCTTTATTCGACTATTCGCTCTTAAAGGAAGTAACAATAAAGCAAATATATAACTATTTAGTCGAATAACAAAATTTATGTGCTACTTGGGTGACCCAAGATTTTTTGTTATTCTCAACAAGGAATCTCAACCTGAAATTATACGTTTTTAGAATGCAGAGGTTTGTGTGAGCCGGCTCACGTTGAGCTCCTACAAGACCAAACTCACGTCATGCTTCACGAATACTGCGCGCAAAAACAAACGCACAGCAAAGGCAGGTTTGGCAAACTCCTGCTATCTCTTCCTTCTGTTCAATCGGTCTCCAGAAGAGGCCTAGAGGAGCTGCTCTTCAGACAAACCGTCGGAGATGTCTCAATCGAAAGACTTTTGGGCGATTTGGCCAAAACTACGCATTAATTTATTGTAATTTATCCTGTAAATATTTATTGTATATGTGGTATTTAAATAAATAAATGTTATATAAAAGTTTAATTTTTTTAATACTATACAGGCTGTTATGTAATTTATGTAATATATTAAAATGGGTAGTTCCATACTAAAAATAATTTATAATAACCTTTATCCTACCAAAAAGTACGCCACTGATTGACTAGGAACTTCCCAGGTAGCACACTTACGTTTATATGACGTCTTTTGACGTTTAAATGACGTTAACGTCATTTCAACGTCATATAAACGTCAGGAGACGTCAGTGTGCTACCTGGGTTTAGGCTAATCTGGTTGCCTAATTTAATTTCCAGATTCTATCAAAAAAGTTTCCAAATTTTGTTTAAATTTAGCTCAATTACAAAAATGACAATATCAACAATGCAAATTGTTAATTTGGCGTTTTTATTAATTGTTTATGTCATTTTTGTAATGAATGTAAATTAAAACAAAATCTGGCAACTTTTATGACAGAATCGATTCTTAATTCTAGATCTAGTGCATTTCTTTCAAATTTTAGATTATGTGCTCAAATTGTAAATATCTTAACTAAGGGGACATCCATTAATTACGTGAGGCATTTTTCTAATAATTTAGACCCCCTTGGTGAGATTTTGTGAGAAGTGGTATACCCCCCTATCCCTCACGTGAGATTCTAGCCATTATCTTTCATTGCGGACAACATGATAAACCTAAAAAAAATTGATAATTTTGTTTTGACAAATTTGAATTATAATATATTAATACTTATATTCTTTGAACCCAAAAGTTGACGTGAGATTTTAAATGACCCTTAACATGAGATTTGGTAAGATTTTGCTAGACCCCTCCCCCCTATTTTTATCTAAGGGAAGTACTTTTGGATTTATTTACACAAATTGAATGTTTAAAGTTTAACCTGTGAACTTATCCTAATTTCATCTTAGTAAACAGAAAGAAAAAAAACGATGAAAAAATTAATTTTGTGGTTAAGGAGTTTTTAAAATAGGTATACCTACTCAATTTTCTAATCATTGCTTATAAGCTAATAGCTGGGTGAGTAAATAAATACAGAAGGGTATTAGAGCTTTAAGGGCATACAACTTTTGTATTTACTGAGTTTTTATTTATTTTTTTGCAAGAAAAATTTTTAATAATAATTTTGTACAACTGGCAACGTGCAGCTACTTTGTTGGTTGGTATCTGGGCGAATTTTCGTTAAATGTACATTTTGTATATATATTTTGTCCAGGCAGGTCAATTTGATCGATTTTTTTCCTTTGTGATAGAACAGTGTAATATACCCTGCTTAAAATACCCCATAGAGACCTATACAAAATAATCTATCGGGCGCTACCGGATTCAATATGTGCATTTGTCCATGGTTTTTTCCGGATACAGCCCGATAGAAAATGTATAGGAAATTACCTATAGGCACACCATAACTTTTACATTTTCCCTATTGAGACCGATAGAAAATAACTCAATGAAGGATATATAGGGATATCCCTATAGAGCAACCATAAAATATTTGACAAAATTTTATTAAAACCTATGGGGTCCTATAGGGAAAAAACTAATTTCTACATTTATGTGTATTTTCCCCATTGAAACCGATAGCAAATAAATCAATGGTGGATATCCCTATAGAACAACCATAAATCTCAACTATGGGTCCTATACAAACCGATACACCCTATAGAAACACCATACATCCCGATACAAATATCTATCGGTTTGAACAGGGTCTCTATGGGGTATTTTAAGCAGGGTACTGCAAAAAAATTTTATAAGTTTATAAATAACAAAAATAAACTTTAAATAAATAAAACTTATAGGGTTATTTTGAAATAGGGAAGGAACGCAAGGAAGAAATGAAACATTGTCCTCCTCCTAACGCATCTTCCTGAACGTTTTATGACACATTGCTTTTGACTTTTTTAAACGTTATTTTTCAGAAATACTGTTAAATGTTAATATCTTTCGGCATTTGTTTGGAATTTCTACTATGCTATGATACAAAATGAAAATAAAAAAGTTAACTTTTAAAACAAGAGTTAGGTATATGTAGCGTTTTGTAAAAGGCACCAAAAAGTGTACGCAAAAAATCTTACCTTTAAAATATTTACAAAAAAATTCACACACTTTACACGTGCTCACTTGTTGTTGCCAAACTATCAAACTGGATGCCCTCTAGAAATAAAACGCTAGTATCTCTATCTCGTGTCTCTATTTCGAAGCAGTCAGCATAGAAGACGACGTTAGGAAAAAGACAAGATTTTTGAATGTCACCTTTAATATTTTTTTCTGTTTAAACTACTTTGTAGAAAACTATTTTAGTTTTGTATACGAATAAAAGAACTTTCCATTGTTCAAAAATAATTTATTTTTTCAGAAGAAAGCTGCAAAGAAGAAGAATATAATAATTTAAATTAAAAAATCGCCTCTGGGGACAGTTAGGTTACAGGACATTTCACCTAGTTTTTCTGCCATATATAGAAACACAAAGTAATTAAAAAACAAAATACGATGGGTCCTAACAGGAAGAGGGTATTTAAATATAATAAATACAAAACTTATCAACAAAGGCCAAAAATAAAAATAAAATTAGCTGGGGACAGCAAATGTACATTTAACGAAAATTTGCCCATCTATGTACTTACAGAACACAAATGTGTAACCAGTGGCGTATCACAAAAAAAAAATTTATCTTTGGGAAAATATTTATTTAAATATTTTCCGTAACACCTTATTTCAAAAAGTATTCAGTATTACATTAATTACATAAAACCCTGTATATAGCTGAAAACGATATGGTGAGAAAAAAATTTCAAAATTTATAAAATTCCTAAAATTTTATTGCCTTTTTAAGTTTAACGTGTTATAGAACGAGTAATAATAATTATTATTATAATAATAATAAAAATATTCGACTGCACCTCGTAATAACAATCGAAATATTTGATTAACCCTCGTATATGTTTATAATACAAAGAAGAAGAAGAAAATAAAAAAAACATAACCAAAGAACATAACCTTACAAATTACACCAAAAATGGATTCAAATTTCGAAAATTCATGTAGAATCTGTGCAAATGAGAAAACAGAAGACCTTGGCAATTTATTCGAGATAAATTTTATTGATACACATCTTTGTATTGAATATTTAAGAAAAATTACTGACCTTAAAGTGAGTTGTTTTTTAATAATGTGTTTAAAATTTATTTACACTTCTTTCAGTATTCCTTTGATGACATTTTACCGAAAACCATCTGCAAAGAATGTTTAACAAATCTAAATTTTTCATACAATTTCACTCAGCAGTGTATAAACTCTGAAAAATTGTTAAAAACTAAAGAAACTCAAATACTATTACAAATAGAGCAAGAGGCTTCAAAACCCAAAGAACAAGATCTAAATGAGACCTGTGATACCCTTAAAAGCAATTACGAAGAAATAATATTAACAGTTAGTCCAAATGTGAAACACACAGATGAAAAGTATACTTGTATAGTCTGCTCAAAATTGTTTAGCAATAAAATTAAATTACAAAAGCATTTAAAAACACATGATGATAGCAATCCTTTTAAATGTGAAGAGTGTCTTCAGACTTTTTCAAAAAAATGGAACTTTGATACTCATATGAGATCCCATGTTAAAAATGAAGATAAAAAATATTCTTGTGAAGTTTGTGGGCAGCAATTTATGTTTCAGTATTTGCTAACTATACATGAATATAAGCATAAAGAAGATAAACCTTTCCCATGTTCAAAATGCAACAAAAGTAATTTTTATGAATTAATTTTATCATCATAATAAACCATTTTATTTACCTAGGTTGTTTGACAGGAGAACACCTTAGAAGACATGTAAAAATACATGAAAAGGGCTACATAAAAAAAGTCCACTCGTGTTTGGTTTGCAACAAAAAATTTTCATACCCGAGTTTTCTGGAGGTCCATATGAAAACTCACACTGGAGAAAAGCCCCATTTGTGTTCTGTGTGTGGGAAAGCCTTCAGGCAAATAGGATCATTACATTTTCACCAACGGGTGCATACAGGGTACAGACCATACCCTTGTAATGTTTGTGGGGAAAGTTTTATGTCATCAAGTACAAAATTTAGCAATATTTTGTTTGATTTTACTTTTATTGTTTTTTTTGTAGGTGCTCTAACAGGTCATAGTAGAAAACACACAAATGAAAAACCTTTTGTTTGTGATATTTGTGGTGTTAAATTTGGAAGAAGTGGAGACATGAAAAGTCATCAAAAAACCCACACTGGTGAAAAAAGCTACTTGTGCACCATTTGTGGAAAAAAGTTTACCACAACTGGTAAGTTTTTATTATATTACACTAGTATCCTGTTAAAATCAAAATTCTTTTTTTTTATATTTAACATTGGTACCCCTTTAATTTTACTTTGACAGTTTTATTTAAATGTTAAAAATTTTAACTTAAAATTATATGATTTAAAGCTTAAAATGACATTCTTAAAGCTTAAAATGACATTCTTAAGGTTTTCTTCCAAAACAACTGAAGAACATTGGTGAAAAGTTAAGAAATGCCTTTTTTTAGGTCAATTAACAATTCATGTAAGATCTCATACAGGTGAAAAACCTTTTTCCTGCACTACATGCTTAAAATCGTTCACAACTTCAACATCATTGAAAAAACATGAACGTATACACACTGGAGAACGCCCTTATGTTTGTCAAGTTTGTGGCAAGGGATTTACTCAAAGAGGAAATCTTACATCTCACCTTAATTTCCATAATAAAACGAAAAAAACAAGAAGAAAAAACAAGAGTAATTCAAAACCTATTGGTGATAATTGTAATGATTTAACTGTATTACAAGTTGTAAGTAATGGAAAAAACGTGGAAGTGGAAGATAATGTGGAATATACTGAAATGATGCCCATGCCTGTACCCACAGTTAATCTTTAATTCCTAGTAATTTAATAAAAAGTAATTAAGTTCAATATTGAATTTTTGTAAAAATGCAATTATTATTTCAATAAATACATACATATATTGTTCTTTAATTTTAAAAGTTTCTAATTCATATCCTGTTTTAATAAAGATATGTTCAAACCACTTTTTTTTATAAATATCTGATTTAAAACCAGTGGCGTAGCGACAGTACCGCGAACGCCCGCCAAGCGGGGGGCCCTAACCTCGTAGGGGGCCCTGCCGATACTTGCCCCAAAACATTAAAATACTTATTTCCATCTTACTTATAATAAAAATTGAATAATAATTAATGATTAATTAAAAATATCATAATTTACTAAAATGTAGGTAGGTACTTGATATTATTGGCCTACCATCACAACATAAATGTAAAACATCTAACGGAACCTTTTGATGAATTTAAAAAATCGCGCTTATTTAACAATTGACAGCGGGTTTACGCAGGAAAGATTCAGAACTTGGAAACATGCGCCTAACTCTAAACAGATATGCGCATTTAGTTATGCGTATTATTCTGACAGTTCTGAAGCGTTCTCTTTGCGAACCCCTAAAATTTTGACGATTGTGATTCACAAGTTGTTAGTTTGTTTTTGTTTTATATTGGTATTGGTTCAAGTAGGTTCTTATTTGTGACTGCTTCTGATTTTTATGTTAAAAAAATATGTTATTTTTTTCTATTTTTTTACTTATAATTTATAAGTAGGTACAGTGGAGAACCTTATTTTTTTAAATTATTTTTTTGTTACTTTTCGTTTATAAATAATTTAAAAAATCATGTCACCGGGTGTATTATTTTTTATTAACAATATAAAACCATGTAAAAAACACCTGAAATCAGGGGACCCAGTAAGGTTTTTCGCGGGGGGGCCCGAAATTTGTCGCTACGCCACTGTTTAAAACCATGGAGCCTACACAAGGAGTCCGAACTGCATGTAAACAAGAATCTTCCTAACTTAGGAATCTTAAGGAAAGTAGGCGCTGGTGTCCCGTTTATTCTGAAACAATTGACTAATTTGTACCGAAACACTACCAAAAGAGCAGACGTCAGGACGCATCAACAATCAGCGCCGCTGGTGGTGAAAAAAAAAGACTTAATTTGTGCAATTTAGAGGGCAGGTTTTGTCAATTTTCCCTGTTAAGTTCGGGCTCCTTGTGTAGGCTCCATGTTTAAAACGTATGTTTATAAATCGAGTGGTTAAGTTGGCAGCAGTGTTGCCATCTTGGAGAATTTTTCACCATTTCTGGTGATTTTTTGTTCTTGGTTGAGACTCTCAACTTGAGAGTTTTCAAGTTAGATAGCGACAAGTCTCAAACCTGGAGAATTTAAAGATGCATCGGAGAGTTTTTAGCGAATTTTTAATAATTAAAATACAGAATAAAAAATATTAAAAGTATTGGTTGGGTGCGTTGTACTAGTGATTTTTTAATTAAGTTACCCTGCAAGAATTTGACCGGTCGGAACTTAGATACACCCCATCCACATATATGTGGATGGGGTGTATCAAATATATTTAAAAAATTTAGAAAATTTTTGGTGGTAAATGAATACAGAGATGCATCTGGGAAAAATGTATTCAAGGATCTTGTACATTTAGCTCTAAGACTCCTATGTTTACCACACTCCAACGCTGACGTTGAACGTGTTTACACATATATTTAGTATTATGAATGTGATAAAATCAAAAACAAGGAACAGGATAAAATTGCCGTTATAAAAGTTTATAATAAAACAATCTTTTATACGTTAGATTTGGCCTTAAACGGTTATAGTTATGCTGTAAGGACTACCTCCTCCCTGATAATGTATTAAAACAAATAGGTACCAAAAAAATTTATATAACAATGAGACTGATGAAACAATAGATGATATAATTAAATATATTAGTATACTATCTAAATCCTTCTACAGTTTATCCTAAAATGTGACCGTCAACTTTGTATATAGAAAAATAGACTTATTTTGATCTGTACCTACATTACGTTAGCAAAGTTTGGCTAGCTACTTTTGGGACATCCTTATTTTTTTGTTATTTCCATATTAAAAGAAAATGTTTATTATATAAAAAGGCATTAAAGCCTCATATTACAAAGTTGTTTTTTTATTTTTTTTTGTTAACTTTTTAAATAATCTGTTTTATATTTTTTGCATTTTGTGTCCATAAAAACCTCTTTGTTTTGCCCATTAACCCTTTCAATACTGCGGGGATATATCGATGACTTCCGGCCAAAGTATCGCAAGCAACATAACTTAAATTTCGGGAATTGAAAACATTATTTGTTTTAAAATCTGTTTTAAACCATATATAACCCATTATAGGTTTCATAACAAGTAAATAGCTATAATATAGGTAAGCTATTTACTTGTTATAAAACCTTTAGGCTATATTTAATTTAAAACAGACTTTAAAACAAAAAATGTTTTCAATTCCCGAAATTTCAGTTATGTTGCTTGCGATACTTTGGCAGAAAGTCATTGATATGCGTCCCAAAGAAAATTAAAAAATGTATCTATAATATAAATATGACAGGGGATAGTTTTATCCCATCAGAGTTTTTCAAAAATAGTAGAATTTCTTTAGTGTGGTGATAAATATATCCAGGGAATATTACTGCAGTGATAAATCTGTCCCATGCTTTTTTTTCAAATACCACCAAGTTAAAAATCTGTCATTCAGTCAATTAACTATTTTTAACCTAAATATAGTTTTAACACTAAAAAAAAGTTTTAAATTAATTTCCGAAAAGTCGTATTGAAAGGGTTAAAAGTATTGGAGATTTTTTTTTGGCAAAGTTGGAGAATTCTGGAGAATTTTTGTTTAGGTTTTTGAGAATTTTAACATTTTACTGTTGGCAACACTGGTTGGCAGCACTTTGACAACAAATTTTAAGGTTATGTTGTCTGTCATCGATCAAATATTTATCGAAATAAACCGAAAATGCCCAAACCAAACATGAAAACGGCAAAATTAGACTTCAACAAAATATGCAGGACATGTTTAAGCAACAGGGGTCACTTGCGTGAAATTTTCTCCACGAAAATACCAAGAATGATTGAAAATTTGACATCTCTAGAAGTAAACATTGTCGATATTTTTCGTGTTGTTTAATTGCATGCGTAATTTTTAGGTATCTAAAGGCGATAACTTACCTACAAGTATATGTGTAAATTGTTTTCACTTGATTGCGAAATTGTACACATTTAAAAAGAAAATTGAAAGAAGTGATAGAATCCTGAGAAAAAATAAATTCATTCAAAGTGATATTCTAAATATAGCCTTAAACGATGCCCAAATCGACGAAAATACCAACAACAAATTGGAATATGAAGAATGTGACAGTGAAGAAGACATTCCGTTAAGCAAAAGACTCCAATTGGAGAAGTTGAAGAAAGAACAAACTACAACTGAAATAATAACAATGGAAAATGTGGAGATAGTGGAGACTAATTTGTTTTCAGATGGGCCTCCACCTTTGGTTCCATTGGAACCAAAAAAAATTGTTGGGGGGGTGAAGATCCCTGATCTTCCCAAAGATACACCCCCATTGATTCCCATAAAACCTTTAGTGAATCTGGAGACTGTTATTAAGCAGAAGGATATTAAATTGCAATGCAATAATTGTGGACAGGATTTTCAGAGTTTGGCGGATCTAAAAGATCACAAATTAAAGGTGTGTCAGCAGAATTCTTTGCAGTGCAATATATGCAAAAAAGAGTTCAAAGAGAGGAAAAAGTTGATAGGCCACCTGAAAGGACACATGGTGGTCAAAGATTACAGGTGCAATATTTGCGGTAAATGCTACCCAAATAACAGTTCATTCAGTGTTCATATGAGAACACATACTGGCGAAAAGCCTTTTAAATGTGAAGTGTGTAATAAGGCTTTTGTGAGATGGGGTGGAGTGGTGGGCCACATGAAAACCCACGAAACCGAAAAACCCTACAAGTGCGATAAATGTGATAAAACCTTCAAAATCCCATCAAACCTGGAACGCCATAAAGTCCTCCATGCCGATATCCTGCCTTACTGCTGCAGTTATTGCGGCAAAACCTTCAGCCAATCAGATAACCTAATGCTTCACGTGCGCAGCTATCACACTAAAGAAAGGCCTTTCCTTTGCAACGAGTGCGGTAAGGGTTTTGTCAGCTCGACAAGGCTCAAAAGGCACATGTGGGTTCATACCGGTTACAAGCCCTACCAATGTGATTTGTGTATGAAGGCCTACACGAACAGTAGCGACCTTAAAAATCACCGGAATCAGCACTATGGGCAGAACAGCAAAAGAGACAAGCCCTATGCTTGTTTGTCATGCAACATGAGGTTCTATCATCCTTGCAGGTTACAGAGGCACGTGAAAATACACGAGAAGCCTTATTTGTGCGAAATTTGTTTGAAGTCTTTTTCGACGGAAACTTTTCTGCACAAACATGTTCAGACCAAACATAACCGTGAGATGGTTGAAGAAGTTCTGCTAGAAGATGAGGATGTCAATAATATATTTGTGCAGTATGAGTAAGGTGTTAACTTTCTTGTAATTATAGAAAAGTGATAATAAATATTCCACAGATTATAAAATGTATTTAATTAAATTATTTAGTCTATATTTATTAGAGACGAAAAGTCCTTTGGCGTTTTTGGATCACTTAATTAATTATTAACTAAAGAATCAGTGTTGCCAGGCTGCATTTAAAACTTACATTTAAATGTAGGTAATGTGAGAACTTTTTTATTAAAAATTTATCGACTTTACAAATTTAAACCGAAAATTTAAAAAAAAATTAAAATCAATATTTTTAAGCTTAAAGTTTTAAAGTTGTGTTTTAATTTTTAAATTTGTTAGATCATCTGAAGACATTTTTTCAAAAACGACACATTTCCGAAATCTGCATTTTTCAGGATAAACAAGAAACTTAAAAAAGTCTGATATGCTACTAGATGGTGCATTTAGCTCGATTTGAGCATTTTGTGACATGTGCGGTTTTTGAAAGAAAGTCTTCAATTGTTTTGAGTTTAAAAAGATTTAACTTAATTTAATTTCTGTTAAAACATTATTAGTGCTAAACTTTAATCTGATCAGATAGAAAAACGACAAAAGACTTTTTGCCTTGTAAGATATTTTATCTTTTTTTAACACCCTGTATAACATAATTGTGTAATTTAATTTATTGTAGAATAAGAGTTTTTAAGATTATAGTATATTTATAAAAGAAATACAAATTATATAAAACAATTTATTAAATTAAATATTTTATAAATACCTACACAATACAATCTAGCAACTATTAAATTAATCATTAATTAAAATAAATATCTTACACATTTAATAATTATATAAATATGAGCACTTGGCAATAAAATAATGAACACAAACTCATATTTACCTTGCCAATAAACGAATTTATACATTTTAATATCCTACAAACTTACTGAGAGGAATTCTTGAAAGTCTTGAAATTTATCACTGATTTTGAAAGTTTTACAATCTGGGTATGGTGGACATGGCGCTCGCCTCCTGATTGGTCTGCGCGGCGTATTTAGGCCGGCATACGCACCCGCTTTCCACCAGGACGTAGTCCTGACCTGTCAAAGTTACAGGCCCCAGGGGAATCACCAGGAACAAATAGGGGACGTACGTCTGAGTGCACTCGCCGCGTACAACGTCGCATTCAGAACTCTCGCAAACCTTCAACAGAATTATTTTAGTGTTTTAGTTTTTTCAGTTAGGTAATGTTTTAATTTAATAAGAGAAATGGTTTGTCGCTTATAAAGCATTTTTTACCTCGAATACGACCTGTTGAAGTAAGTCGGGGAATTTTTGGACAATTGTGACGGGTTGTCCTGAAGTTAGTGACACTCCATACATTGGGGCTGTTGTGTTGTACCGGGTTTTACATAATCTAGATGGCGTGCCTTTGCAAGTATTGGCTGGCGTAACATTTACAGCTCTTCCTAAAAATACAATAAACAGCATATTACGTCAGCGTCTATTCATACGTGCCCAGGCACAATCTAACGCTAGTGTACAATACGTATTGTTGACTGTTTATAGGGCTATTCATTAAGATGAAATTATAACATCATTGTTATAATCTTCTGCACTAACCAAGGTTTGTTACGGGAAAATTAAATGTGTTAGAGAAGAAACAAACGGAGTTTAATACATTTTTATTACATAAGCACGAAAAAAAAGATGTTTTCCAAATGTAAAAATCAGGGACCCGCACCCAAATGAAATAACGGTTCCTGTCCGGTTCCGAGAGAAACGACAAATTTCGGTTCGGGTTCAGTTACGGTTCCAAAAAAATATTTATGTCCGGTTCGGACCATTTTTTTCTGTCCATACGGTTTTTTTCGGTTCCAATTTTTTTACCATAAATATAATATAAATAAGTAAAATTATAAAATATTTTTTTTTTAATTAAATTACTTTGTCTATTCTTTTTTTCAAATCGGGTTCTTCAATTTTAGGCTCTTCATTCTCTTTTCTTTACTTTTATTCTGATCTTGCGATTGAAAAACTGGAAAATTCATATTACACGGAAAAAAATAATCGGTAGAGGCTACCGATTGGCATTCGGTAGCAGCTACCGATTGCCAATCGGTAGACTCTACCGAAAAAATCGGTAGACTCTACCGATAAAATCGGTAGTCTCTACCGAAAAAAAATCGGTTCCCTTAAACGATTTTTATCGGTAGCAGCTACCGATTATTTTCGGTAGAGTCTACCGATTTTTTCGGTGCAGGCTACCGAAAAAATCGATTACCAATTTTTGAAAATTTTTGTATTTTTTTAGCGAGAAGTTAAATACTCGCTTTTTATTAAATAGAAAATAGTATTTTTTTTTGAGGTATAAATAAATTTGAAATACAAAAATATTAAAAATGAGGAGTAATTTTTATTAAATTTTTTACAATTCTAAATAAATATTAAATTAAATGTATTAATAAACAAGGTTCTAATTTGCTCTTATTCTAATTAAAATTATATTTACATATAAAATAATTGACAAAACTGTATGTATTTATAATTGGATAAATAAACTTTCTTTTAAATAGATGATAAAAAAAAACCATTTCTTTGAATAGCATTTTTTAATAATTACAATGAATACCATCTCAAAATGTTTGACTGAAAAGAGTAATTTTTATTAACTTGAATAATGTTTAATATTATTTTTAAATGTTAATATTTTTAAGTATTAATATTTTTTTTTAATTTTCTAACAGCGCATCGATGCGGATTTTCTCGGTTACGGCTACCGAAAAAATCGGTAGACTCTACCGAAAAAATCGGTAGACTCTACCTAAAAATAATCGGTAGCTACTACCTATAAAAATCGGTTGAGGGAACCGATTTTTTTTCGGTAGAGACTACCGATTTTTTCGGTAGAGTCTACCGATTTTTTCGGTAGAGTCTACCGATTGGCAATCGGTAGCTGCTACCGATTGCCAATCGGTAGCCTCTACCGATTATTTTTTTCCGTGTATAATAAGTTATCCAAAAATAAAAAAAAACTGAACTTTAAACTTTTGTTTTTCTTTTTCTCCAAAAATTATGTTGGTTCTCACAAATAATTGTTCCTCTAGGGAAGTGAAAATTTGTGACCGGAAAACAGCCTTTTATATCATATGTATACATAATACTAGGCAACACTGTAATTAATAAATCCCCACTATAAATGTACATCAGAATTACGCCTCAAAAAAATCAAATTTACTGGCAGTAACTTTACAATTCAAAGTTCGTAATGATGACGTGCCGCGAATACTCAAAAATCGGTTTTTCAAATTTAAAAAACAAGTTTTCTTCTTTAATTTTAAGACTTCACAGCTTAGGCTATTAAGAACAATTCCTCTGAGTTGAAAAAATAAACAGTAATAGCTTCATTGTTTGATAATTGTGCATTGTTAATATTATAGCTAGGCACTTGATGATCAAGGCTTTTTAAAACACGTTAAGTGTTGAGTGTAACGGATTTTATGTGGGAACTTCTAATAACAGTTTTTACTAACTGAACAATCTGAAATAATGCGTTCCGTAGGCTTTAATTTAAACATGGCGCGCTATACTTTCAAAGTATTACTTTGTTTTTAATTTATGACCGCGATGTTGTAATTTTATAAATGAAATATTAAAAAATGGTAAATGCCCCGTGGTTACGAATATGAAGTTTGGAGCAAATGTGATTTTTAGATTTTGACGATTTTGATTTTTTGTATTTGAAAATTGTATCATATATTCTGAAAACTTACCCATTCTAGATATTGTAGGAGTTTCCAACCCCGAATTGGCTTCGTGGGCTGCTAGTAAGGCTTTCCTCGTCAAAAATGGGTCTATTGTCTTTTTTGATCGACCCATTCTGCTGCTTCCTGACCACACATTTGATCCTCTGAATGACCTTTCAATGGCTGCACTAAGACATTTTTATTTAAACTGTATTAAGAACATTGATTTATATTAATATCTATAGATATATATATATATATAATAATAAATAATTAATATCTATAGATATATATATATAATAAAAAATTTATAGTTTATATATTTTTTAAGTTCAGGCCTCCCTTCAACGTACTAAAAATCCACACACTGTATCTTATAAAGCAATTTTTTTTACCATTTTCAATCAAATTTTATGCAGAAACGCGTTGCATTTTCTATATGGGTGATTCTACAAAAGTTGGACAACTTGATGTCATCAGTCAACAGAGTAGGTATTTTAATATTTTTTGTAAATATTTTAGTATATTACAAAGGATCCAGGTTTTTTAACTTATCCACCCAATTTTAATGTATTTTTTCAAAAGCAGCTTGGCGTGTCACAACTCCTGAATCAAATATTTTAGTGGTTTTATTTTAAAATATATTTAATTTATCTTAAATTTTTCAATTTCACTACAAACTATAAAACATTAAATATTGTATTTTTCATATTTTATCATGGATTCGAATAATAGCAATTTAAAAAAAAATGATAATCTGTGTACTCACTTTTACCCGTCAGTTCTGTGACAATGTTAAAATTCAAAATTCCTGCGAAATATTGAAGTTTAAACGTCAAGTCCTCGTTTTAACTCAAGGGTTGGTAAAAAATTACCTACAGAGCCCGCCCTTTGCACGACAGTCATCTTGAAAACAATGCAAGCGGCGAAGTTGTGGTGAATGCACTTATAGACTATAAGTGCATTCAATACAACTTCGCCGCTTGCATTGTTTTCAAGATGACTGTCGTGCAAAGGGCGGGCTCTGTAGGTAATTTTTTAATATAAGTTATAGTTCCAGTCAAAATTTCAGTACTGTGGTGAGTAGTTATTTTCTTACGTATATATATTTCATTGTAATTTATATAAGGCTATATGTGATTTGTTGATAAGTAGCATCCACTAATAAAAAATATCAGTAAAATACTTAATTTCGAATTATAGTCTCAAATTTGTATCCCATTCATCAGTACCGTGTCGTCAGTTCCATGTTCGATGTTTCGGTTATCTTTTTTTCGCAAACTTCAATTTAAATTCTGCTTGCGCAGAACTTGTTTATTTAATGTCATTATAAACTTATACAAATTTGGTGTGGGTCCCATATCTAATAATTGAGATATCGGTATACCCAAAATCCAGCAGCCGCCACTGACGTGTGGTATTATTTGATTTTAAGATATTTAATGTATAATATGCTCAAAGTTGCAATAAATCTTATATTTTCCAATAAATTATGTATTTAATTATTACCCTGGTATACTCGTCACTTCCCTTGCATTTACTGTTTGAAAAAGTGTTTGAAAAAGTGACTGGCCCGGTCTGGAACAGTAGGTATATTTATTATATTATCTATGTTCTCATAACAAAATACTGTTTAATTTTCTCCGAAAACTATATAAACAAAATGAGGTCAAAAATTGCCTAACTTTTGTGGAATCACCCATATAACATTGCTATCACAACCAAACTGGGAATGCATAAAAAGATATATAACAGTAAAAAATGGAGATAAATCTTTAAAAAAAATAATAGTTTATTAATGAGAATAACGGCAAAAATAACGATTTATGATGTAAAGTGTTTTGTAATAATACGTACGTCGGGTATGGCATGTTATTGGGGCCTATGCACTCTGGATTGTCCGTTAAGGCATCTCCCCACATATATTTAAGTTGACCGCCTCCTTCACATTTTGTGGGTATTTTAGCTATGCTGGTTTGTAATATCGAACATAATACTGTTGTTATCTGCAACAAATTTAACAACATACTAAAACACAAGAATACTATCATAAGTTTGTTTATTTGTCCAAATTATACATAGATAATGATTAACTGTTAAAATTCAAAATTGTCTTAAAAATAACTCAAAAACTACAGATTCTGTATACTACATAAAACATTATTCATTATTTTAATCCCGGCGCATCCGCCATTTTTTTTAAGTTTTTGAAATATGATACTAAATAGAAATTGGTATACATTTTCTAAACAATTGTTATTTCGTTTTAGATAAATATCTATTTAATACATATTTTTTCTAAAACGAAATATTCAAACGTTTAAAAAATGTTTTTAAAGTAATACATTTCCTAATAAAATTAATAAGTACCTATAATATAAGTATAGTTAACCACAGAAAAAGTCAAGGTATGTGTCATAAGTTGTGAAACACCCTATATAGTATTTTTGTCATAGAATATTTTATATTGACCTAATTTAAGTAGGTATGTATCATCGATATACAAAAAATATATAGTAAGTATATATGTATGTACTATACAAACAATATATTAACTGTTATGCCAACTATAATTCTATTTAAAAATGCACCATATTAACATATGCTTTCTATTGAATGCCACAAAAAATTCTGATGCGATAAAGCTTAATTTCAGTGGGTACTTTCAATTTTAAATTGCATATAATACACATTTCGTTTAATAATTGTATGAATTTTTTCAACAAATTGGTGCTAAAAAGGTGACAGGAACAATTTGTGGTAAATTGTAGCAAATAATTGTAGTAAACTTATTACATTAAAAACTTACATAATTTATTTGAAATTTGAACAAATTTTAATCTAATCGCTTCATATAATTTGTGTAAGTAAATAAGTATTTTAGAGACTTTTTTAATATAATATTTTGTGGTGAAATTGCACAAATTACACAACATTGTTTAATAATAATTTGTCCAATTTATTTAAAAATTTTAATAATTTTTGGGATGTAAGAGATAAAAAGGAAAGTGAAACTAAATTAATAATTTAGATACCTATGTATTTAGCGATACAAAAAATATGGAAAATTGAATACCTAAACTTAATATAAACTGACACTGACAACATAAAATAAACATAACAAAATATAAACTACAAACTGAAAAATAAAATTCGTATATGTAGCTAATTCTAATAATATTGAGATATAATTCAACATGAAGTGCGTCTTCACTTATAATAGTACAAATGTCGATAGATTAAATATGTATTCAGCGACCAACACAAAAATTAAGGATTAAGTTAATAAAAATAAAACATAAATTACAAACTAAAGTAAATAGTGTAGCACAGTAGGAACATAGAAACACTTTTTATCCTCATTTGATCACCAGGTCATAATTATTGATTTATCCCAGTCCCTGAACAATTTTGCAAATACCTATTTCGAAAAATAATATTTAATAATTACTCACCAGAAATGTGGTACTAACCTCACAATTATACACTTTCTAACACCAACTAAGGCTGCAAACCGATGATGCAGATTGCAGTTGAGCGACCGGCCGGCGTCTTATTTAAATCGGGAAATCATTTCATTGGTTATCTTAGGTGGTGTAATGCTTCACTCCCGAACAAATTGTCCAATATTGTAAAATTTATATTCTAACTTAAAGTTATACTATATTTATACGAATTTTTATAAAAATTGTACAAAAGAGTAACGTTTATTTTTGAAATATTTTCAACAACAGATTTCAACTCTTTTCTTGACAATATTGTGGAAATGGTTAAATATAAAATCTTACTGTTTCCAACAAATTTTACAAAATTGACTTAAACAAACTAATTAGAAAAACCAATCCAACTATCTTCGATAACGTAGCACATTTATAGAAAATTATGCTCCAATGGCATGTTGCCCAACTTTGTGCAATGTTTTTCAAACGGATTTTTCTCCGTGTATTACAGTTATAAAAACAAGTTTTTAATGGTAATACTTTTAGTTTTTGATATGGACTTAAAACTAAGTTTAATAAATTAATATCACGGATCTAGCAACAATAAAATTTTTAAAGTGAAATTTGCAAATGGTTTTCGTTGAGCTTTGTGACAGCATTAAACAAACTGAAAATGTATGCCAATTAACACGAGTGGTTCTCACAACACTTTATAGGACAGTAAACCATACTAAACAAATTAAAATCGTACCGTATTGTTAAGGTATGGTAGAATATTGTATACTTACATAGGTGTAGTATTGGCATAGTTCGTTTTTTTGGTTGGTAACAACTGCTTTCGATTGATTTTATTTTATAAGAAATATATTCTTAAAATTTTTACAATAAATAATTATTTTCTTTTTCAAGTAATCTTTGATCTTTATTTATTTAAGTTACGGTTGTTGACAACGACTTTCTTATATACCCGCATTATTATGATCATGATTCCGATGAATCATGTTAAATGTAGACGATGATTGGCCATCGAAGAAAATAAAATTTTTGGAAACCGTTATAACCAGATAGGCATTTTACAATTATAAGTGGAACAATATTATAAATCATAGTTATATTTAATGTAGGTATGTTTAATAGATGCATTATTTATACGATTTTGTCAGTTTAAAATTTATTCTCTGCATTGTCTATGAATTTTACCTATTATAAATTACATACATACATTGAAAGGTATAATATATTAAGTAGGTGTTTAATTTATAATACGTATGACATACTTCCTTATAAAGGGATCTTGCTTATTAACATTTTAGGCTTAAAAGTATTGTCATAAAGTTTATAGAATATATTGTTAATTTTCTCTTATGCATGTCCTAGATAGGAACCTACTCAAGTGCAATCAAGCTGTGATCTTGGTTAATTAGACTAATAATATTTCATAACCATATTCAAGTTAATAGTTAATTCTATAGAAACTATCATTTTTGCTGTTACTGGTCAAAATTTTTACTAAACAAATTATTTTCTACAATTGTATTTTTTTTAAAGAAAGATTTAGATTAACTATATTGGCTTTCTAAAGAATATTTAAAAATATACTTAATATTATTAAGTTGTAGGCAAAAATCTTGTTAAAATATAATTACTCTGGCATGTTATAACTGGAAACGTCTAACATTAAGGCAGAATAGTAAAAAAAACTATTAATATTCTTTAATTGTAACTTTTTATTTTTGATTTCAGAACCCTGAAATATCAGTAAAACTAATCTAAAAATATATATTACTTTTAAACCACCTTGTTAAAAAATATATAAAACCTGTTACCACCTTTAGATCTCATTCCTCTGGTTTGTTAATGATACCTAAATATATGATCCTAGATGGCGAGTCCGCGGACTACGTTAGGAAAAGAATCTCTGGTTGCGTGCACGCGTGCACGCAACCAGAGATTCTTTTCCTAACGTAGTTCTTGCACTGAGCCAGCAAGCAAATATTTTCTGACAAAACAACACGTGTTTTTTTTTAAGTTTTGTTTTAAAATTGTTAATGTCACACACAGACAGATCATTTCTCTAGTAAATGTATTTTGTTTATTTATATTTTTGTTGCATCCATTATTTGATTTGAATACGAGATTATGGGTTTTCTTTTCTGTAAACCAATTTGTAGGTTGGGGATTGTTGTATTTTCATCCCAACGTGAAATAAACTAAGCAATCGTCATTCCTCTGGCACCATTCCTCTGGGATATTAAGACATTGTTACAAATTATCGTCTTACAAATTTAAAAAGGTGGCTACACATACCCAAAAGTAGTCTTTTCAAAAAAAATTGAGAATGCCATTATAAAAAATGCAATTCAAAAACTTTTGGAATTCGATTTAAATGGTATTCTATGTCCTGTAAAAAAAACTATTTTTAAAAAAATAGACTAATAAAGCAAAAAAGATATCTCAGTGATACTCATTTTGGGGTAAAAATCTCAGATAAAAAGGATGCAGGGTTTATTTTAAAAAAGTTCGTATTTGCATACTTAAAAAATAAAATTAGAACAAAAAACTATTTTCAAATTACTATATTAAAAATTAAATGATTTGTATAATCACCCTAATAATGAAATGTGTAAATAAAGTCAATAATCTTTAAATTAGGAAAAAAATTAAAAAAATGAAAAAAAGAACTTAGATGCTTAGTAGTTAAACATTGATTATAAATATAAATTTTATTTTTTTAATAATGACAAATTCTAACAAGTTTGTATTTTTAATATCAACGATACCTGTTTTAAAGAGTTTTCACACGATTAAAGTTCTCTTTGTTTTCGACAATTTTATTTATGCGTCACCTTTTCGGAATGAGGTTGAAACAGTAAAATAATAAAATAAATAATTAAAGACTGCATACATAATTATATATTTAAAAAAGTAAAAATATTTTATTTTTTATTTTTAACAAGAAAGAACCAAAAGTAATGGTTTATTGTTTAAAGAATTTTCTATAGGTAGTTAGGTATACATTGCAATAATTTAGGCTTTATTATAATATATTGTCACCGCTGCAGGGCGCTGGCATTAGGTTTCAAGGAAAGTTCATTAAAATGCATCACAACGCACAAGTTCACCGAAATTGATTTATATACGGCGTATCCTAGTGGCATAATTTTTAACGAATAAATTAGTACCTAGTACATAAATGGAAGTTATACAGTGTTTGCCATAATTTTTGTACCACTGTAAAAAAATCTAACTCTAAAACGCCTTTATTATTCTTTATGAAATTTTGGATAAAAATACTTCAACTTATAAGTCGAAGTCGAACACGTAAACTGAGATATATATATATCAGTTTACGTGTTCGAGGGTTTTTCGAGAAAATATTTTTAAACCCTTTTTATTTAATAATGAAAAAACTTTCGAAAAATAACTTTTATGGAATTTTTTTTAAGTAAATAAAAAATATGCTGTTTAAGACCGTATTTTTGTTAGTATACCCTGAAAATTTTGTACAAATCAAATGAACAGTAATGAAGATACAGCGATTCAAAGTCGTCAAAAATGACCACTTTTCAGCAAAATAATTAAAAAGGGGCCATTTTTACCGACTTTGAAGCTTTGTTACTGTTCGTTTAATTTGTTCAAAATTTTCAGGGTGTACTAACAAAAATACGGTCTTTAACAGCATATTTTTTATTTACTTAAAAAAATTACCCTAAAAGTTTTTTTTTCGAACGTTTTTTCATTATTAAATAAAAGGGCTTTAAAAATATTTTCTCGAAAAACCCTCGAACACGTAAACTGAGATATAAGTTGAAGTATTTTTACCCAAAATTTTATAAAGAATAATAAAGGCGTTTTAGAGTTAGATTTTTTTTACAGTGGTTCCAAAAATTATGGCCAACACTGTATGTACTACCTGAAGGTAAACATTATAAATTAAGCGAAAAATTCTTTAAACAAGAAACTTGAAGATACATACGATAAGAGGTGCTTAATTTACCCAAGTATAAGGTCATTAAGAACACTGTGAAGTTCAGACAACAATAAGGTGTTTGAATACAAGAAACCAGTGGCGTCACAGAATTACTTTACTTTACTTTTGAATAAAACATTACAATAATTACAAATTACCAATTTACTATATTTTACATTGAAGCCATTCAAAAGATTTCTTACATCAAAGTTAAAAAAAAAATTAGTTTTGAAAAAAGAATAGTAGATTTTTTGAATCACCCTACTATACCTACATATAATTAAAAAATAAATTGATTTAAAACCCTTATGATTCAAAAACTACCTCAAGACACAATTTTATTTGTTAAACGATATATAAAACGTACAATTCAAAGTAGAAAGTGACTTTAGAGTCGAAGTTATTGATTCCTAACCCGATTGGTCTAAATCATTTTTGAGTGCGTAAATCATTGGAAGGATTTTTTGTTAATAATTTTGAGGTATTAGTGGCTATTATTATTTATATAAACTAAACATATTTCACCCTTACTTTATCAAGTCTGTAATAATTTTACCCCACTCAAAATCCCTGTTCTCTATACAGTATTCTTTTATTATTAGGTTATTTTGGAGATACCAATAGCCTTTTTTTAAATGGTTTTATTTGAAATATGTTATACATTTAAACCTCGAAACAATATTACCTACACTGTTAAAAATTTCTAATGTAATTTTCCTAAAAAGGTTTACGCACCCCAATATAGTAATAATAAAACTCAGTTTTGTAAATTCATTACACGATTAATTTCAACTCAATTTGCGAAAATTTACTAAGCATTTATTAAAAATTGGTTCAGTAACATTACTATGTAATTTTGTTAAAAAAAATACTACCTAAATATGTTTAGTAATTTTAAAATTGTGTATTGTAATTATACTTTACAATTCATTTCAACTCAGTTTAAGAAAATTACAAAATATATTTTACAATTTTACTGAACTAAAGAAAACTTGTTTCGCAATATTACAATACAATTTGTATTATACAAATATTGTTATTTTGTACAACAAATTACACTAAAAATATTTAGTAATTTACGAATGATGGTATTGTAATAATTATATAATTATAGTAATATATAATTATAGATATAATATATAATTATTACACTAAGAAAAAAAAAACCCTGAAATGTTCGTAGTTTCTTCGAGAAAATGTCTTGACCCATTACTGTAAAGATTTAAAAAAATTAAACCTTCACCTCGCCAGAGTTTTTGTTTTAAGTGAGTTCCACCAACTTCAAATACCGAGAGACAGCTAGACAGATAGACCAATTTTGGGTCTTATCAATGTCGGGCAATTTGATGTATTGGAACACACCAAAAACGGAAGACACCTGAGCTTATATACTGTCCTCCTAAGTCAACCGAGGCGAGATGTAAGAACATCAAGTGATTGCCGCAATCGGTACATATTATGCATTTTACATAACATTATAGCAAATCAAATTACAAACAACGTTTGTAATCTGAGATGCTTTTTATTAGAAACTGTCAAACTGTTTAGTGAAATTATAACATCTTAGTAGAATTCCCAACATATCTTGGAAGATTACTCAAATTGTATTATAATTTTGTATTGGTATACACTGATTTGTAATTTTACTCATCCTTTGTTTTGCAAAACAATTTAAATTTTACAAAAAATTTTAACAGTGTACATGATTAAAATGATATATAGTAAAAATAAATAGGTACCTAATGATTTGTATATTTCCAAACACTTATTGTAATTCAAATAGCAAATTTTGGTTAGTATTTTTATTGAATATCTTAGTAAATTTAAATTAAATTCCGAATATGTATAGAAATTTTACAAAATTTCAATACAAAATTGTAAAATTACTGTAAGTATCTGACAAAAACAAAAACTTTGTGAAGATTAAACCTGTTTAGTACTTTGACTATAACAAAATGTAATATTACAACAAATGCGTATTAAAATTGAAATACAATACCTACAACATTTTGTAATAAAAATGTAGTAATTTTACAAACATTTTTGACAGTGTACCTATTTTATTATAATATTGTAAATAATAGTTTTTCTAAAATGTTTGTACCATCACAAAGATCTCCTTAATGTAAAGCGACTTAATATCGCAATGAATATCACTTTTTCAAATTTAATGGGCATCAAATTAAGTCATTAATGTTAAGCTATAGAAACGTAGCGAGGAAATTCTTGGCGATGAAGAAGCGGTAGATATGGTTTTTGCTTTGGCAAATTAAAACATCCCACTTATCTTACCTACGTATATATATTGACCACCTGTAGAAAAGATACCTGATCATTGACCTCGAGTCTAACTGTAAATCAGCGGCAACTTTATGTGGGCAAGCTGACACAGGGCGGCGAATATTTTGATTATGTTGGAAACGCGAAATAAAACCACTGACACAATTCGTACTAGCAATGTATAGAGGAAGTTTTTACGTGACGAGAATGTTAAGTTAACAAAGTACTCACCGTGAAAATAAACGTGCTTATTCTTGCCATTTTCCGTCACAAAACTTGGGTTTTCGTCGAGGGTGATACCGGTGCAAACTCTTCGTAAATATATATTTTCAGTTTAATCCCATAGTATTCTATAGTCTAACGGTACTGGAAACTTGTAAACGCCGAAGTATCGGGTTAGTTAGAACTCGCGATGTTTGTGGACTTAATTCACAAACTGTGCCAGCCGATCTTGAACTTGTTTAGGCCCGAATGATATAATGCCATCGTCAGCCGGCTGGAAGGGGAGCTTTGTAAAGGAGGTGGGGAACACCGAAACCCCGGCTAATTAACCGTTGAATACTACTTAAGGCTTCAGAGGGTCCACTAATTATTTTCAAATTTTTGTACCTACCTCAGACAAGCTAAGGGACTGTGTTGTAGGTCGTTCAAGGCCTCCCAAATACACTGTTTAAAATTTCATGACCATTTCAACACCAAATTAACACCATACATGCCTTTATAATCTGTGCATACATGGTCTATATCGATACAAACCAAAATGGTGTTTAAATATGGTTCGTTGGTCCGGTGTAAATTCAAATACTAAAATAGTGTTAATTTAACTTTCACACAGTATTAAAATAAATTTTACCTGGTGTAAATTAATTGAACTCCTTTTCAGTGTTAAATATTATGTGTTTGTGGTCAAATTAAATCATACTACACAGAAAAAAGGAAAAAAAAGGAAACAGGAAGTTCCTTGACGCATTACTAGTATATTACCAGTGGTATTATTCCAGAAAATGGAATATTCAACTCGCTAGAGATAAGTATTGACAGCTGTTTCCACCTATTTAAGGTCTCTTTAGTATCGAACAACTTGTAGTGTCACACCAAAGCAAAGGACTACCTGAGCTTATATATTCTTCATGTAAGTCAACAGAGGCGAGATTTAAGAACATCACGTGATCCACACCGCCTTTGCCGCGATCGGTACAAACTATGCAACCAAGAATGCACAGCAAATTGTTTTAATCGTTTTAACAGAGTGCTTTAGGTTGAAGTAACTCTTATTTTACAAACAACATATTTTGTAAAGTGAACCATATAGCGGGTTGGTTTCACTAAAGTTTTCTGGGTTAATTTAACCAATTTAAAAAAAAATAAAATAACTATTTGGTTTAGTACCGTCAGACTAATCTTTGTTTATGTATTAACCTTCCCAAAGTTGATAAAAATAAAAAAATACAAAAATAAATACTTATGCGTCAACTAAATTAATATAGTTAAATGAACTATTCCTTTTTTTCTGTGTAGGCGCACTTCTCAAATATTTTTAGATAAACACCGTTTTGGTGTTTGCTGTATATTTTCAACCATAATTCATGGTGTTATATTAACACCACTTGGTGTTGGATTTTGACACCATTTTAAGATTACTCTTTACACCACAGATATTTTAAACAGTGTAGCACAACTGTTTAAATAACTGGCATTCAAATTGAATTAAGTAACCGAAATCTAAGTAGAATAACCCCTATTGTAAATGACCAATAGAATCCAATAAAAAATAAGTAATTGGTTTGAATTGGTTTGAAATGTGTTTTGGCGCTATGAATCACCAATGCATTCCAGTTGAATTCCTATTGGTAATTTCCAATGAAGTCAGCGGCTTGAATTGGAAAATACCAATAGAATCCAATACAAAATAAGTAATTGCAATTACTTATTTTGTATTGGATTCTATTGGTATTTTCCAATTCAAGCCGCTGACTTCATTGGAAATTACCAATAGGAATTCAACTTTGAAATGTGTTTTGGCGCTATGAATCAACAATTCATTCCAGTTGAATTTCTATAATAAGAATAAGTCAGCGGCTTGAATTGGAAAATACCAATCCATGCCTATGCTTGTCTCTCTAGAAATTCACATGGAATGAATTGGTAATGCATAGCGCCAAACCCATTCCAACCAATTAATACTTTTGAATTTGGATTAGAAAATAACTACCAGTTTATTTTTCATTCAAAAATAATTTTAGATCCCAGAAGGATAACCGGGTAAAAACCAGAATTCATTTGTCACAGAAGAGACAAAAAATGTATTGTTACTGAGTAATTTTATTTCTTTATTATTTTTTGTGTGATATATGTATGTATTGATACATATAACTTACTATCAGAAAAAAAGTAATAAAAAATAAATAAAATTACTCAGTTATAATTTTTTTTTTTGTGTTTCTTGCAAAGGATGTTTGTAGGCATGGTCAAAGTTGATATTGTTTATGTCAATTTTTTTATTTTGTCCGCTGTGACAACATAAGTACACTACTATCACTAGGCACAGAAATCGACTAATAAAAAAACCGCTAATAAATGGCGTCCAAAGACTTGTTTGTGTTGTTTTTTCTTTATGATGGCGTCTCAACCTCATTGGTTTTGCGCAGCTACACGGGAGACCTCTTCCGATATTTGTATTGTATTGGGAATAACCAATTAGCAGATTTTTCGAATCTTACACTGGAAATGCACAATTGGATTCAATTGGAAATTACCTATAGGTAGCTTTATCCAATCGAAACCGCTAAAAAACATTAGAATCCTAATTTGACTTTTCCATCATGGAAAATACCAGTAAAAACCAATTTCTGTTTTCCAGTCCAATTCCATTGATACCAACCAATACTTCAATTGGTTTCTACAGGAATTAATCGGTCATTTACAACAGGGATCAAAACGTAAAATCGACGGAATTTAACTAATTTTGGTAAATATTAACTATAATCTGTTAAACCGAATTTAAACCAAAACCAAAGAGTTATAAATTACCAATAGGTTAAAATACAATAAAATAACCAAATGGTTACAGGTTAATTTATATTTGTTATATGAGTACCTTAGATGCAAAACTCGGTTTTTGCAAATTAAAAAATAAAATAAAATTGACTTTAAATTCTGTTTAGTGTTCGTCCTAGATAAATGGCGTTCATAAAACTTGATACATAATAATATTATATTATATATATTATTATGTATCAAGTTTTATAAACGCCATTTATCTAGGACGAACACCAAACAGAATTTAAAGTCAATTTTATTTTATTTTTTAATTTGCAAAAACCGAGTTTTGCATCTAAGGTACTCATATAACCAATAAGAAAAGCATCCTAAAATCGCCATAAATGACCTTTTAAATACACATTGACAAGTTGCTTTATGGTGCTTTAGTCATGGGCTGAAGTTAACAACAGTTTTTTAGTCACGTGCTGAAGTTGGCTTTAAATTAGTTGACACTGTCAACTAATTTAAAGCCAACTCAGACTGAGGAACTGTTGTTAATCTATCATATAACAAATATATCTATTTTCAAGAAACAATTTCGATTTTAACACAAAAAAAATTTACATTTGACGGTAACACAGATTCCCCTATTGTTGTATAGATGTCGCTGTTTACAAATACTTAATTTAAATCATTTCTAGATAATTGTCGAAGAAAAAGTATAGTATACAACTCCAGTGGCGGCTGGTTGATTTTGGATATACCAATATCTCAGTTATTAGACATGGGACCCACACCAAATTTATAATAGTTTATAATGACATTAAATAGACAAGTTCGTCGCAAACAGAATTTAAATTGAAGTTTGCATAAAAAGTTAGTTTAGCCGCTTCACCCGCCCCTGGCCCCCTATTTAAGATTTAAATTAAAGTGGTGCTACTTAAAATCTACAATAATTTATTGTAACGTTTATAACTGTTCGTAGTGTGAATAAAAACACGCACTGGTTAATTAACGAACTAAACTATTTATTTAATAACTTAACTACACTTGAAACACTATAAAACTAACTAAACACTTAACTACTAATTATTTATATCACTACTAGTTTATTTATTTGCACTTATATTTATTTATTTCTTCGCGCGTACCAAAGCTCAACTGACTGCTCTGTGTTGCTCCGTTTCTTATATATTCAGCGCCCAAGTATTCTGGAACATTTCAGCGAGCTCCACACTCTCGATTATTCGAGCGCTGAGTCACCGGCGATGACTCACCGGCAATGACTAATCGGCGATGAGTCATCACTCCGATATCCAGGGCGGTACTCGCTACATTATCGACAAATTTAATATTTTATTTAAAAAATCCTACCTTTATAAGTACGATTTTAAATTTTTATTATTTATTTTATTAATAATTTTGTAAAGTTAATTTAATAAACGGCGTTTATCAAACGTGATACATGATATACAGTATGTCTCAGTATCTTGGAATCATATGGAAAACTTTTTTATTATTAATTTTAGGAAAAAAAGTTATTCCTCATAAAAAGTTCTGCATGGTGTAAAACTTAAAATGCAACCCACAAATATTATTTTTTTTTAGTCGTATACGGGGTATGTCAAAAAATATGAATTTGGCTCAAGAGTAAAGTACCTTTATATTTGACAATATCGAAAATTGTTATAAAGAAAAGTTAATCAGAACTTAAAACTACGTTCAAATATGCAATTACATCCATTTACATTAAAAAAAAATATTTTTTCTTTTTTGCCTACAATATCAATGCAAATTTAACTGTAACATGTAATCTAGGATTCACTGATAAACAAATGATTTGTTGATATTTTAAAACTTTTTGGCCTGCTAGATCCCCTGACTTAACTTAAGGTTTTCATGTTTTTTCTAATCATAACATATAAATGTTCATTTAAAATAGAAAGATTAGTAAAAATTAACAAAACCTAATTTTTTAATGTAAATGTATGAAATTGCATATTTAAACGTAGTTTTTAGTTCTGATTAACTTTTCTTTATAACAATTTTTGATATCGTCAAATATAAAGGTACTTTACTCCTGCGCCAAATTCATATTTTTTGACATACCTCGTATACGACTAAAAAAATTATTATTTGTGGGTTGCATTTTAAGTTTTACACCATGCAGAACTTTTTATGAAGAATAACTTTTTTTCCTAAAATTAATAATAAAAAAGTTTTCCATATGATTCCAAGATACTGAGACATACCTACTGTATGTAAGTATGTAGGTATTTTAAATTATTTTAAAACGAAATAAAGCAAATACTAATAAATTGATAAGCAACAATTTGTTGTATTATAACAAAGAATATCAATTGGAATTTGGAATTCAAATTTTAAATCATGCAAGTATTTCAATATTACTGTTGGTTATGCAACAAACATTACGTGGATATGTATCATTGATTGCAACTTCTAATAAACCAAAAATAATGCTCTTTTCGTAATATTTAAAAAACTATAATCAAAAAGAATTAATTTAAGTTTAAATTAGCAAAATCGTTCAATATTTATTGCATTTTTACTAAGTTTATTTAATATTAAATCCGAATAAATTTCTGCGTGTGCGCATTGGTTTGATTCTTGACGCACGCGTTTTCCGCCAGTCTTTTCATTGCAGACATGGCGGCCAATGCGAGTCCCGTAGTGAGTTCCCTAGTTTACGACTTTTTATTGAAAGTTGACAAAAATTTAGCTTCAGTTTTTCAGAAGAAAACCAAAGCGGTGAGTACGAACAATGTCTCTTGAAAATTTCGGTCCCAATTATTGAGTACTTTGCGAGATAACTTGTAGCGTGGTTTTGCCCCACGTGGTTTTTTAAAAAACGTGTTTAAACGATTTTGGATTAAATGCAAATTGTAATATGTTTTGTAAATATTCACAAGAGTTTGGTATTGTTTTTAAATTTAACGGTTTGTTAGTTGGGTTGTGTTTAACTTGTTAAAATGATGATCATGACATCAAATGGTGGAAGGAGTATTTTAATGTCTATATTCACTTTGTATTGCTATTAAATTCAATATTCTACAACATTAAACATAAAAATCAATATTTTAGTTGTAAAATTAAACTTAATAAATCTATCGCTTTAAATACAATGTTATTAATATTATTACATATCCTCGTCGGGCGTGCAATACCTCCAATGTGACAATATACTCGTTTATAATATTAACATATTTTTCTGAGCCTTGCGCACATTTTTCTAATATCTACAATGTAAAATTATCATATTTTGCGCACTTATACATGATTTAAAAACTGCCAATATTCAGTCAGTTAGGTAAATGTTTTTCGTCTCTCCTGTAAAATTTTGGATATTGCACATTGGAGATATTTCACGCCCGGCGACGATTTGTTGATCGATAGTGTGTTGACGTTTGTTTTTTATTAATTTTAGTCTTCGCTAGCCAAAGGTTCCTCAAACCTAAACGAAATAGTAACTGTATATCAAAAAACCAACCCAAAAAAACTCAAAGTAAACCAAGATGAAAGCGAAGATAGCAGTAGTGAAGAAGAAGCACCCAAGACAGTTGTAAACGGGAAAACCAAGGCACCTGCAAAAGCCCCAGCCAAAAATGCTAAATCTTCTGATGATTCATCATCCGAAGATGAAGCCCCTAAAAAACCTGTTGCTGCAAAACCGGTGATGAACGGAAAACCTGCTGCCAAAAAGGCTGAAAGCAGTTCTGAGGAAGATGAGGCACCCAAAAAACCAGCTGCTAAAGCTACCCCACAAAAACCTGCAGCTGCTAAACCAGCTGCCAAAAAAGAAAGCAGCTCAGAAGAAGACAGTTCTGAAGATGAAGCACCTAAAAAAACACCAGTAAAAACTGCCACTCCTGCCAAAGTAGCTCCCAAAAAAAAAGAAAGCAGTTCTGATGATGATTCATCTGAAGATGAAGCACCTAAAAAAACACCAGTAAAAACTGCCACTCCTGCTAAAGTAGCACCAAAAAAAAAAGAAAGTAGTTCTGATGAAGATTCATCAGAAGATGAAGCCCCTAAAAAACCTGCTGCTAAAGTTACACCCGCCAAAGTAGCACCAAAAAAGAAAGAAAGCAGTTCTGAGGACGATTCATCCGAAGATGAAGCTCCCAAGAAAGCTGCACCAAAACCTGCAGTTGCCGCCAAAAAGGCTAAAAGCAGTTCTGAGGAAGATTCCTCAGAAGATGAGGCTCCCAAAAAAGCAGCACCACAAAAGGCTGCAGCTAAGAAGAAAGAAAGCAGCTCTGAAGATTCATCAGAAGATGAAGCTCCTAAGACACCAGCTGCTAAAGCTGCACCCGCTAAAGTAGCGCCAAAAAAGAAAGAAAGCAGTTCTGATGATGATTCATCTGAAGATGAAGCCCCCAAGAAAGCTGCTGCGCCTCCTGCAGCCAAGAAGGCAAAGAAGGAGAGCAGTTCTGAGGAAGACAGCTCTGATGAAGATGAGGCGCCGAAAAAACTGAATGCTGTGTCGACTCCAGCGCCTAAAAAGGCTGCAGCTAAAGAAGAGCCTTCAGACGACGAATCTGATGATGATGAAGAGGAAGCCCCAAAAGCAAAGGGGGTGAAGAGGAAAGCTGATGATGAGGCTGAGGAAGGGGAAGAAGAAGAGGTGGAAATGAAGATTAAGAAACCCAACTATGATAACTTTGTCAAGGCTGGAGAAAACAATAGTTTCAATGGGAATGATAAGGTATGTTGACATTATTTTCACTTTTTTTTTTTGTTAAAATTGTTACAAAAGAATTGCTTATGTTTGCTTTAAGAAGAATGTTCTTATAATAGAATTTACTTTTTTAGTGAAAGAGAAACTTTCCTAAAATAAAATTCTTTTATGTGTCCAAATTTATAAAACCCGTTTTCTGATGCATTGGAAATAGTACAGTCAATCTAATAATTTTCGGAAAAAATTGACCATATTTAATTTTTCCCAAAAACGGTTTTAGATAACAATTGTAAACAAAAAATGTTTATAATTAATTTAAGTCTATTTTTCTATTTTAAACAAAATGCCACTTTCGGTTTAAATAGAACACCCTATATATGATTACATTTTTAAATTCTGATTAAAATTACTATACCATGTCATTAATAGTCTAAAACTTTTTTGTTATTAGGTTTGGAATCTTAAAACATTCTTTAAAAGATTCCATGTCAATTTTTCTAACAAATTACCTAAGAAAATCCAGGGCAAATTAGGCTTACTTGAAAGGTTACTAACTTTTTTATTTTAAATGTTACACCTGGTATGTTTTTACATAATCAAATAGTAAATTAAAAAACCTTTAATGTTACCATTCCCTATATTTAAATTTAATTATTTTAGAGATATTTAACAATTTCTAGAATTCAAGAAAATGTAATGTTCAGAATTTAATGGTTTAAATTTTTCAATAATTTGTTGACTAATTAAGTGTTTAGTTAACAATATTACTGATAAAAAATAGCAGTCAGTGACTTAAAAAATATTGGCAAGCCAAACATTTAAAAAATTTAAAAGTTATACAAACAGTATATGCTAATTTCAAAAAAAACTCAAGTAGCTAAAGCTTTGGCTCATTGAAGACAAAAAAATATAAAATTTATTTTATGAAATATTTTAATAACATTTTAATAAACCAACAATATTTAACATTTGTTATTACTAATTTATTACTAAATGTTTAAAGTGTCCTTCATTAACATTCAAACATTTCTTAATTCTTACTTCTACATTAGACTCTTGACTAAAATATCATATCATAGGTTTTTTGATACAAAATATGTAAATATGTCTTTTATTATTAACTATAAGGAATAGCTACGTTAATTGAAAGTTTTTTTAATTTACTATTTAATTATGTAAAATTGTTTTGTATTGTGTTTTTTTTAATAAAAAAATATAAAATGTATTTAAAAAAAAAATGAAAAAAGAAATTTCAAATAAGCTTTTCTTTGAGCCTCAAACGATTCGTAAAAAAAATGTCAATGGTCAATTTTATTCGACAGATTGACTACTAAAATGCACAAGTTAACTTTGACATTTTAAATTGAAAAATGAACCGATTTTTCAGCAAAACAATCGTAATACTCCATTCCGTAGAGTTAAGGACGAGGAAATAGAGTTGGATCCAAGACTAACCAACAATTCTTTTGAAGCTAAGGTAACGTGCAACATCTCCGAACCATTTTGGAAGTGCAATGGGTACGCGGACTTGTAAATCATGTTAAATTTCATACCTGAGAACATTTGGTTGGTAAAATGTTGCACGTTCCCTTCTATATATTTTTTATATACAAACAGTTCGCCTGCCTGTTGTACTAATACATGTTTTTCTTTTCATATTATTCCTCTTCGGATTTTCTTTTTGTCCGAATTGTCTCTTTTATTGAAACGCACATCTAGGACCGCAATTCCTTCGGCGGTAGAGGCGGGGGCCGGGGTTTCGGTCGTGGGGGCAGAGGCGGGGACAGAGGGGGCAGAGGCGGTGATAGAGGGGGCAGAGGTGGTCGCGGCGGTTTCGGCGGCGATCGCGACAGCGGCGGTTTCAGGAAATCCTTCGACGGCGGTCGCGGGGGCGGCGGTTTCCGCGGGGGCAGAGGCGGCGACAGAGGGGGCGGCGGTTTCCGCGGGGGCAGAGGCGGCGACAGAGGGGGCAGAGGTCGCGGCGGTTTCGGCGGAGATCGCGACAGCGGCGGTTTCAGGAAATCCTTCGACGGCGGTCGCGGGGGCGGCGGTTTCCGCGGGGGCAGAGGGGGCGATAGGGGCGGCGGCGGTTTCGGTAACAGAGACAGTTTCGGATCGACGGAAAACAAGAAAATCACTTTCGACGATTAGGTGCATTTGATGTGACTTTTTGTTAACTAGTTGTAAGTATAATTTTGTCATTTTAAAATAAGTACCTAGGGTTTTAAAGTGAAAAAAAAAACGAAAAAATTGGGGGAAAACTGTTTTTTTTCCAGTCAATGGAAAAAATGTCTGAAAAAAATTGAATTTACGATTTAAAAATATGATTTTTCCCACTTTTTTATGATTTTTTGGAATTTTTTTTTAAAGTGGTCAGGGTTCAGTTTAAAAATATGAAATTTTGAGTACCTTCAGAAGGGTAAAAAAGTAAGAAAAACCTCGTTTGAAAAAAAAATTATGACTTTTTCCCACTTTTGTAGAATTTGTTCCAATTTTTTTTGTATTGAGGTAATGAAATAATTTTTAATCACGATTTAAATTAAGTGATTTTTTTATTTTAATCAATGATTTTAAACTGATTTTAAATAAGTTTTAAAATCTAAAAAAACTAAAAATATCTAAAACTAAAGCACAATAATACCTTGACATTATTTTTAAATAAGCAGTTTTTCTATGCATATGAATTTATTTAAAAATAAATTCATATGCATAGAAAAACTGCTTATTTTGTTAAATAAAGGAATATACAAAAAAAAATATATGACAGTTGCGGACGATTATTTGTAATTAAAGTAGTGCTAATATAATATTATAGTTAAGTTATTTTTGCTATTTTTTTAATAGTACACTTTAAAAGCTTAAAATTAAAAAAAATCAAATTTAACCCTGCATTTAGAAATATTATACAAGAAATGCACTTTATTTTAACGATTCTGTGACATTTTACAACTATCAACTAACTTCAGTCCATGACTAAAAACCAGTTGCTAACTTCAGTCCGTGACTAAAGCGCCATAAAGCCACAACTTGTAAATGTGTATTTAAAAAATCACTTAGTGTCATGGAATATTTGTTTAAAACATTAATATTTACTACTACTTGATATTAAACTGAGTATTTTACTAAAACTTTATGTTATGTTTTACCAATACATTCTTTAATTATGAAATAAAACTAGGATTTCTTAAAATTTTACTTAAATTGAAATCAAAACCTATAAAAAAATTATTTGGTGGTTGCATATAATTTCGTGTTCTCTTTCAGTTTAATTCACGTGGATCTTGGGGGGAAAGGGCCAACCAGGACCTCAAGCATACCCGCGGAAAATCATTTAGACACGAAAAAACAAAGAAGAAGCGCGGTTCGTACCGCGGCGGCGCCATCGACATGTCTGTCAATTCAATTAAATTCGACTAGTTAATCAAATTTTAAAATTAACTTTACCTAAGCCTAGGTATGGTGCGTTTAATTAATTAAGTCTGACCTGTTTCAGTATATTTTTACGACGTTAACAATTCCCACTAGACTACATTTCTATTTGAGTTAAGTATGTAATTTGATAGCAGGAGTTTTAAATGTTTGGGACTCCCTCTGTTAGTGTTTCATGGATTTGCTTGCCGTCAGGCATAGGCCAGACAAATTTTTTGAAGTGGTAATGAATTGTATATTTTGAGTTGTAAAATTTGTCTGGCCTATTTTATTAGTTTTTATGGAATCTGTGATCATGCTAATAGTAGACATTTTGTATGTGTTTATTTTGTGTAAATAATTTTAAGTTGTGTCCTGTCATCATAGAACACATTTTTCAATTTAAACATTGAACAATTATATATATTTATGGAATTTGCTGTTTTATTAAAAAAAAACCTCATGGGAGTTAGAGTGGGTAGAATATCTGCTGAATAATTAATTTAGTAATAGCAAAAATATTATTTTTTAAGGTAAAAAAATATATAATTTTTCACGCTGAGTTGGAAAATTGAATCGTCTACCAAAAAGGTCCCTATCAATTTTAACGGAAATATTGTAATTTCCCAGATAATTGCCATTTTATCCTATTTTTTGTCAAAATTTCCTTATTTTAAGCAAAGATTTTTTTTGCAACTAACAATTAGTAATTTTTGACCAATTCATTTTTAGGGAGTAGTGTGGTGTGAAATTTATTGAAGAAAAGTAATGTTACTGACAAAATTGGACAATTTTTTTCTTATTAATTTAGTTTTGTCATAAAAATAACAATTTTGTAATAAAATTGCGATTATTTCTAGAGCTACAATATTAACTAAGGGAAGTGCTTTTGGATTTATTTACAAAATTGAATGTTTAAAGTTTAACCTGTGAACTTGTCCTAATTTCATCTGAGTAAACAGAAAGAAAAAAAAACGATGAAAAAATTAATTTTGTGGTTATGGAGTTTTTAAAGTAGGTACTAAATTTTCTAATAATAGCTGGATGAGTAAATAAATATAGAAGGGTATTAGAGCTTTAAGGGCATACAACTTTTGTATTTTTTTTTACAACTGGCAACGCGCAGCTATTTGTTGGTTGGTATCTAAGTGTCACAAAAAATATAAAAAACTTCTAATGCATATTTTTTCTTTATCTTTGGAAAAATATTTTTTTAAATATTTTTTCGTTACAACTTATGTCAAAAGGTATTCAGTATTTTAATATATTACATTAATAACATATCACCCCGTAGATTAAAAAAATTACAATTAAAATGACAATAACATCCCCATTACACAAAAACTGTTTTTACTTTTAAAATAAGGTTTGTTTAAAAAACTATTTTTTAAATAAAATCGCAATAAAACTGTTACACAGTAAAATATACCATTAAATAAATAAATAAAATCTCTGAAACTGCAATATTTATAAATTTACCAAAAATAATTTTTTAATTAAAATTGTCATTAAAATTAGAATTTACAAAATTGATATGGACCTTTTTTGTAGACAATTAAATTACCCAACAGATGGCAAAAAATGTTACTCAATTTCAAGTGAATTTTGTGGGTATGAAAAATTAACCTTAAAATTAAAAGTTTGATGACATCCCTAATAGAATAGGGTTTATTTTTTACAAGAGGAGTAAAACGGTTGCCCTTGGCACTTTAAGGCCTCATTTGAGGCTTACAAGTGCCTCTGTAATTACATACTAAAAATCACAACACTGTGCACACTCTAGCAGCGGCCATTTTTTTGTTGTTTACAATTCTGGTGCTTTGGGTTTGTGCTTTTTATAAAGATTAATCTTGCACAGTGCTGTGATTTTTAATATGTTCGAAACGAGATGGAACAGACTTTATTATGTGGAAGGTAAGTTTACTTAAATCCACTTATTTTTGTGTGGTGGGGTTTGGATCTTTTACAAACACCCTGTGTAATTTAAGTTTATATGGAAGATAATTTAAGTAGACTATGAATTTGACAATTATTAGTTCCATCAAAATTTACGTCAATGTCAGAAGATCGTGAAACACCTAAATTACCTCCTAGACCAATGCCGAATGGAGAAACTTGGGGATATTACTTGTGCAGAATTCCATTTTTTATACCAATTTTTATCCCATTCTGTTGGATCTCAAGAAAAAAATAGCCCTTCGGTGTTCAATATTTATTAAAAACAATATGCACAATAACAAACAATAGATAAACCTACCGACGAAAATATACAATGTAAGAAAATAAATACTTTATATACAAATATAAATATTTTTATTATTATTATTATAAAATAAAAAAGTAGTAACTAATGGCACTAAGAATATAAAGATTGGAGTAAATTATCACCTATTTTCACCTATTGACTTAGAATGCATAGTTTGAAACAGTTTTTCCATATCTTTGTCAGGAAATAAGGTACAAAGTACGCCTTCAAGTAAAACATAAACTAATCTACGATTCAAAATTGGTCTCTGAAAAAGTTCGAAAATTGTCAACAGCCCCCTCCTCGTTGTTTCAGATCCTATTATATGCTTTAACTCATCTAAAAATAATTTATTATTAAATTTATTAATCACAAATTTAATAATGTACCTGATGAACAAGATAAGAGAGCCACTTTGGCTGCAACCCTTGTACGTATTTTCACATCATCATCCCTTTCAGGTTTCTTCTCGCAGGGAGCTCCGTTAGGCCAAAACGATTGTCTAAAAAATATTCATCAAACAATCATTTTTGAAAAATGAACATTTCTCACTTGAAAACATATAAGTAGTGTGCCACATTTTTAGGGCTGGTTATATAGGAAACGTAGTCTAAAATTCTTCTATTGACTATATCTCCAAACATGGTCCTCACAATTTGCCTGAGCAAAGTGACAATGCGGCGCCGAAGCCACTGGTTTCGCGATTTTAAATCGAAAACCTCATCCATCAGAAGAAGCATTATTCTTAGTGGAATGTTATTTTCAGTCTGAAAAATACCAAAAAGCTGCAATGCAATTTACATAGAATAATTTCTATGTTACCTCTTCAATGGACGCACCAACTTTCAGTGCTTCAGGCAAACGCACTTGTTTCGGATGAAACACTTTACCTACCACTTCATCCATGGTGTTTATGAGTTGTTCAGGCATGTTTTTAATGGTTTTCATGCCCGATTTCAACGGGTTTACTATAGTTTCAATCTAAAAAACAATGTTTTAAAAAGATGTGCAACAAAGTGCATTTTTCACTATGCTGATTTTTTGGGAAATGTGATATAGGGCCATTCCACGCTTAACGGATAGGACAGTTGCCGTGTTTTTATTTACAAAATAATATTGTTCTATTATATTACCAATGTCAAATTTTTATAAATAGTTCTAAACTAAAGCTGTTTAACAAGGTTTTTATTTGGCAAAATTAGGTATCGTGGTTGACTGTTTAATTCCTTAAAAACTAATAATTTAAAGCGTAACGGACGGGACTTTGTAATTATATAATTTAAAAAAATGTTCTGATCGGTTATTTTTCTTAATAAACTGCTTTAGTTGGACTTTAGTAGGACATTTTTAAGAAATCCAACAAAAAATAATTTTTGTACAAAATCAAACATTTTTATATTATAAAATACGCCGAAAACTGCACTTTAAACAACAAAACCTACGTACCTACGAATTCATGGCAACAAAATATTATATATAATACCTACATAATATAATACCCGTTTTTGGTCTTTTACCGTTGAATTGAGACTTTCTCAATCAACGCTTTTCATAATGCTAAATGCTGTTAGACGACTTATTTGTTTTATAATTTTTACTCAATATGTTCAATTCCATTCCACTGTTTATTGGGAAACCGGTAAAAACTCAACCCAGGATTTCCTCTCGAAAAACACCCAACAACACAACAAATCGTTCACGTTTTTTTTCGATATATATTTTGACTTTTGATCCTTTAAAATGCACTGTATATTATACACTCATCAACTTTTATACTGCATCACCCTGTATTTCTTAATTTAGAACTGTATATTTTATTTTTATACTTTTAGTTCAAACTGTGGTTAAAAAAGAACAAAAAACATTGTCAATTAATAATCTTGAGATACTTTCGGTTAAAGTAAAATTATTATTTAGTCAGTAGTATCGTTTGAATTTTGGGTGATGCAATATAATGTTGATAAGTGTATTATGGAGTTTAAAATTATGTTACGTGTTTTATAACACTGTAGGGAGGTGAAAATATCACAGCTAAACGCTCGGACACGTAAACTTAATTTTTGGTCGTAGATTACAAATCCGTGCTTGGTATCAGGTCAAAATTCAATGATATTGGAAACACCCTGTATAAATTTAAAAAAAATCAATTTGGATGGACCCTCAGATCAGTTCCAAATAAAAAAAAACAAAGTGTTGCAAAATTTGAAGTAAATTAGTTAAAAGGAACATGTGCCCCTGATGTTTTTTTTAGATAATTTAGGAAATTCAAAATGTTTTTTTGCTGATTTTTTGCTATTGAGCATAATTGAGGATATTATATTAAACGAAATAAAAAGCATGGGAATGTTGGCACAAGAGGTGAAATATATTACTTTAAAAATAATAATTTACCAGTATACAGTGTGTCTCCGGATTGCCAATAGAAAAAACTTTTTTAGACCTGATACAGCTAAACAGAGCACGGATTTGGAATCTACGACCATAAATTATGTTTACGTGTCCGAGCGTTTAGCTGTGATATTTCAAGAGTTGAAAATTTACCTATAGGTATACAGTGTAATTTTAGGAATTATTATAGACATTGTTAAATACTTAATTGAAAAAATACCCAACAAAAAAGTTCTAGAGGAAAATCTGGCAAACTAGGGACTATTTCTCAGAACTCTGGAGATAACTAAAAAAAGGTAGCAAGGCTAGTGGCGTACCTACTACTTATTTTTTATAAAAAAAATATCCTAGGCCATGTTGGTAGGGACTCTGGTAATACCGTTTATATATAAAATATGTTAATTTTCAATGAGTAAAGTATTCTTTTTTACATTACTAATTTTTAATTTGTAATGAGTGTTTTGAAATTTTCAATTAAAATTTTTTATGTACTAACTTAATTTTTTATTTTTAATGAGAAATGAATGATAATCGAATTACTCATTTTTAGTGCACATGGGCAAGAAAGATATTTTTATTGCATGACACATTTTTTCAATTTTTGATTTGAATTGGGTTTTTACCAGTAACAGACGTTCAAAATGAATTATTAGTTCATAACATCGCGGATACTTTTTTGAGTTTAGGTCGCCTTCTCACCTAATTATCATAATCCCACCATCAACCCCGGGCTTAAAATTTCTTGAGTGGGTGGAAGTTTAACGTGAAAATTTTGCAAGGAAATCGAAGGTACAAACAGTTTGAAAATTAAAATTTAATAATATTTTTGACACACAAAAGTTTTAAGAAATAAAAATTTTAATTCGGACCATTATTAAAGAAATTAGCAGCAAAGAAACAAAAAAAGCGATTTTTTTGAAAATTTTATATCTTTTGAACGAGTAATCAACGGTCTCTCATTACTCATTTTTTATTTTTTAATGAGTAATGTATTGTTCAACATTACTCATTAATTTTTTTTTAATGGATAAGGTATTCAAACTACATTACCAGTAAAAAAAAATGACGATTTCTAGAGTTGCTTAAGAATCAATTTTTCAGTGTCCGAAGTAAAAAAAATATTCGTTTTTTTGAAAGACACTTACCGTACTTGATATGGGTCCGCCAGTCTGCCTATCGTAATCCCCTTGCTCCAAAAACGTCATTAAAAGTTCCCGAAGCCCGGCGTGGCTATTGACCACGTTAATTTGGCACACTTCGCTCATGTACGACCCCAGCATCTTCATGCGTCGCTCTAAAACCGCCCGGTCCATATTGTGGAATGTTTTCTTCCCCGGAAAAAGTACCTTTGACAAATCCGGGTACTTATCCTTAATTTTGGTGTACAGATCGTGGAAATCGCTGTAGCGTCGATAAATGTGCCACTCTTCCAGATAACCGGTTTCGTAGCGCCTCCCCACGCTGATAGCGTAGATACCGAAAGTTTTCCCCTTCTCGCAAACGATACCGGTTTCTATGACCGTCACCGTCAGAGAAAAATCACCGGTTTTAAACTTCTTCGCCTCTAAATTCGCCTTTAGTTTTTCCTCTTCGCTGGTCAGCTGAAAATTCACCTCCTTGCTGGCGAACAAGGGCACATCGCTGAAAGATCTAGCGTGTTTCCCGCCCTTTTGACAGCTCTCGACTGTCAAGTTATCCGTGAGCGATTTGGGCTGATTTTCCAGGCTATCATTGCTGTTAACACTCAAAGTATCCTCATCCGCATTGCTTTGCTGTATCAAGTCCAACTCCTGCAGCATTTTGACGTACGCTTTGCTTTTTTTAAACGCGGCCAAAAAATCTTCGTTACCCTCCATTTTTTGGTAAACGGCTTTCTGAACGCCGTCGAACCAAAGTTCGTTAGGCGTCTCGTTGAGGTTGCGAATTTTAAAGTGCAGCGACTGTATAAGGCTTTGTTTTACTTGCACCTTTTGCTCGGATTTGTCGCCCAAATACTGATCGAAAATGCTTAGGGCTGTAGAACGAATCGTGTCGTACACTGGCCCCGCATTTTCTACCGGCCCTTTCAGTTTGTTTAGTTGCAAGTCGGATAGTTGCTGTTCCACTGAGATTTTCCATCCTAAAATACGTTTTTAATAGTAAGTATATACAATGGTACAAAAAAACAAGGTATGTTCTGCGCATCTGTTTCCACCACTCCATCAGATTGGCGAAGAGGTGGCAGCACCCAGTCGCTGCCATATTGACTATTTACATTTTGATGTGAGTTGTTTTATAAGCTTTTTAAAAATTTTGTAAGTGAAAAAATGTCTACCTGCCAAGTGAAAATCTGTAAAAACAATGCCAAAAGCAGTGGCGGCTGGTGGATTTTGGGTATCCTAATATCTCAATTATTAGATATGGGACCCACACCAAATTTATATGAGTTTAAAATGACATTAAATAAACAAGTTCTGCGCCAATTTAAATTTAAATTGAAGTTTGCGAAAAAAAAAACAACATTTTGCTCGGCCGTACCGGCTCAGTGGGGTCCCAATAAATATTGTAGCGAGTACCGCTCTGGATCTCGGAATGATGACTCATCGCCGCATAGTGGTCTGAGAGGTAAATTTACGCGGCAAAAATGTTTTTAAGGGTGCTAAATTTACTTCTTATATAAATTTTTTTCAAAAATATTTGGTATTGAGGGGCCAGGTATTTTTTGTTTTTTTATGTTTTATATTTAATAATTTATTTATTAAATAAATAAATGTTTATAGTTTGTACCAGGGGACGATCGCCAATGTGGGCGATTGCATAATTTTTTATCATAAATAACCGAAAAACCATTACCTTCAAAGTATCAAAAATATATTATTATATCAACATTTTACATTTCACCATATTTCTTTTTAACAACCCTTTAGCCAATATCGTGATGGTTGACAATAGGAAAACTTATTATTTTTATTATGCGTTAAATACTCTTGCTTGTTTTAAAAATGAGATTCCTATAGAACAATAATTATTGTACAACCCTCTTAAAACACTTTGCTGTTTTTTATTTTCTGAGCACCCTGGACATTTAATTAAAAATGTTTGTTAGGAATTTCATTTTTAAATACAAACAGAAGTTTTTATGAAGAATGATTTTTTTGCGATTCCGTTAGGAATACCACATTTCTCTCATATTTTGATATATAGATTTTTTTTTTAATAATTTATCTTTTTATGAAAGTCTTAATTTTTAACCATCAAATATTTTCAAAGAGAATTCATTTTTCCATAAAACGCACTTCTAGTTTTTTGGGTTTTTTTATTTTCTGAGCACCCTGTACATTTAATTCAAAATGTAGGAATCTTATTTTTGAAACAAGCAAGAGTTTTTAAAAAACATGTTTTTTTTCGTATCATACCCATCCGTGGGCAAACTGTATAATATACAAAGTATATTAAAAAAATAATATTATGTAATAGGAGTAAAGAAAATTGTATTACCATTGTTAAATGCAATAATTATTGTCAAATTTAAAAAATATATTACTTTTATGACCAGGTTAGCGGTAATTTGTCGGCCATTTTTCATTTTTGCATAACTCTCTTATAGGCGCATAAAGGCAGATGAATTTGTATAAAGCCGGAGCTGGAGGTTCATATTTTCGAATGCACTATGTGGTTTTGGGCAAGTAATTATAAATTTTTACTTATATTCCATTTATTATTTGTAATTACAAAACTTGAGAATTTGTAGGTTAAAAAACGCTATATTTTGGCAAAAAATCCAAAAAAGATATTTTAAAGTTGTATTTGTACTTAACTTTATCCCTACTATAAATTTTAGACACCTATTTTCACTATTATATTTACGCAACACCTTTTTTACACGAAAAAGACAAGATTCCGAAAGTAAGAGTATTTTTGACAATCTTTTCATGTATTTGTTATAACGCAACGCATACGCAGTAAATTCTACTTCGCAGTTTAAAATCTTAGGTAATAATCTATCACAAACAATAAAGAGGCATCAAAATGCGTTTTTAAAGTGTTTTAAAAATTGGATTTTGGCCGCGTAAATTTGCCTCTCAGACCACTGTGCGCCGGTGAGCTCGCGGGAATATTCGGGAATGCACGTAGGCACTGAATATATAAGGAACGGCGCAGCATGGAGCAGTCAGTCAAGCTTTGGTACTCGCGATAAAATAAATAAATATACTTGCAAATAAATAGACTCTTGTGTACAGAGGTGATATATAAATAATTAGTAGTTAAGTATTTAGTTAGTTTTATAGTTTCTTAGAGTTTTAAGTGTAATTTAGTTATAAAATAAATAGTTTAGTTCGTTAATAAACCAGTGCGTGTATTAATTCACACTACGAACAGTAAAATCGCTACAATATAATTGGTGCAATTTATTATTTACCATAGTTTATCGACAAATTTCAAATTTTATTTAAGAAATCCAAGTCATACAGATTTTATATCATTTTAAAGTTTTATTATTTTTTTAAAAGTTGTTACATTCCGCACTCATAACTGTGCGGAAAGTAGCACTTTTCCGCACGCAAATACTTTCCGCACGCAACCCCGCAATTGTTAAGCAGAGTAGTAGCATTTCCATTATTGGTTTTTATGGTTTTTAAAATACTAAACATAATTAAGTCCTGAAACGTCAAGGTTTTGAGTTTAAAAATGGAAAGTGTATTAATGTTAAAATAAAATGTTAAAGATTATTAATGTTAAAATAAAATGTTTTCCATATTATTTCATGCGCTTGTAGAAAAAATATTGTACCCACCAAGCGCGGAAAGTGTCTTTTCCGCACTCGACTGATGACCGAACTCCGCTACGCGTCGTTCGTTTAACGGTAGTCGCGTGCGGAAAAGTACCACTTTCCGCACTAGTTAGGTAAATAACTATTGTTTATTTTGTAGCTTGTATTTGTTCCATTTACTTGGAAGAAAGTACTTTGTAAAAATTTAAACTAAAATTGGAAAAAAGTTATTTTTACAGTGTACAAGAAATAGGACAAAACCATGGTTCCTACAGGAAGCATATTATGATCTTTGAAGACTGTAACAGAAACTCAAGTACTGCAGTGTAAGAAATTAAAATAAACTTGGAAAAACAAAATTAAATCTTTTTTTACATTGTGCAGGAAATGTGCCAAAACAAGGAAGATAATGATCCATAACACAAACTCAAACTGCAGCATCCTGCTGGTAATGAAATGGCCCGGGATTGAAACATTTCAAAAGCATAATATAATATTTTTCTCAAGTTTAGTTTGTTTTATTCAATTTTATCTCGATGGTGGCCAATTTAGGGTTTTTATTTGGCAACTAAACCTAAATTGCAATTATTTGTAAATACAATTTTGTAATAAATAAATTTAGAAAAAATATGTTGTTTACATTTTTCTTGCAATGTTAATGTTGTAACTTGACACTGTTCATTTCATTCTTTATATTTGCCTTAAAATAGGATATTTTATTTTATTATTATCACTTATAAATGTCTTTAAAACAGATATTTTATTTGAAAAACAATTATTTAAAACATTTAACCTAAAAACTAAAATTTAATTTTTCTTAGCACTTTTTTCTAATATTTTATTTGGTATTTAAGCCATTCCACGCTACTCGGTACTCAGTATTTAATTTAATTACGGTAGCTTTTAATCACAATTTTTTAACGTAACGGACGCTACAAAAATTCCCGAGTAGCGTGGAATGGCTGATTTAGTAAATATTTACTTTAAAACAATATATTTTATTTGATTGAAAAACCATATAAAATAGTTTTTTATTAATAATATTTTTTTGCAATGATAATATTGTAATAAATCGTTTTTACGTGTGATCTTTAAATTATTCGACAATTTAATTTAAAAATCTAATAATTTTATAGAAATTTTGATAAATTTTATTTTGATAATATTTAAATTAAAAATATCATTTAAAGGCGGGAATGAAGTAAGATGGCGGTAACTGGGTGGTGCGTAAAGTGAACCAAAATTCGTCCTACTGAAGATCATACCTTGTTTTCTCTTACCACGCTAAAGAAGAAGTTTCGCTATCTGGTGGCGCTCGATAGCATTGTGGGACTTCAAGAATTGTCAACAATAAATTTAATGCATACGTCATTTTTAAATAAATAAGTAGTTTTTCACTAAAGAGAGAAAGGCCGAAGTCTTACTCGACAAATTTTGCACAGCCAAATCGCGCACGTTATTGGTGTTTGGCGTTGCAAGTAAAAAATGAAAAACTCTGGTTTAGTACTCGAGTTCGATTTATTATTCCTTATAATATTATCATTGATTAATAAACTCAACGTTCATGTGATATTTACGTTAGTATGTGTATTTTATCTAAGTGATCATGGTGAATTTTTGTAAATGTAATTTAAGAACTAAATCGTTGCATTTTTATGTTTTGCAAAAGGAAAACTTTACCTAATATAATTCATATTTAAGATCGGACATTTTTAAGAAATCTAACAAAAAGTAATAGTTATACAAACATAACCTTAAAATCAAACAAAAACCGCCGAAAACTGCATTTAAAAATAGTAAACGACAAAATGTGTCTACGAATTTATGGCAATATAATATTATATAATACATAAAATACTACCTGTTTTTTAACGTTGAGTAAAGACTTTCTTAATAAATTTTGACGTAGATCACTACTACACTGTATTGTATCTAATGGGTATACAATTTATATTTACAGGGACGATTTATTTATTCATTCGGATTTCCACTGTTAATTGGGAAACCGGTACAAACTCCACCCAAGATTTCCTCTCGAAAAACACCCAACAACGCAACAAATCGTTCCACGTTTTTTTTCTCTCGATATTTTTAACATTTTCCGTTCTTTTTCTCTTGGTGTTTTTACACAAAAGAGAAAAAATATCTAAACGATTTTAAGTGAAAAATAATCTCTTACCATCAATATTCAAGTAAAAAAATAAATCCAGCTGTTTGCCTTGACTGGAAACAAAATCGATGAAATACGACAAAGCAACGTTATTCTTGAGAATCTGGTCGAGTTTTAGGTCGATTTTTTTCACGTTTTCCATCTGAATGTAGTCCAAATTACCCATTATTTCGGCGTTATCCAAACTATCCATCTTGGAAAGTCTATTATCGATAAGTTTTTGAACATAATGCAAACTACTCAGTTGCTGTTTTATTGAGAGATCGCTATCTCCTCCAGAATCACGTGACCTCTAAAAGAATCCTATTTTTATAAAACCTATAGGTACCTTCTTAATTAATGTTACAACATGTGGTGGTGTACGTTTTTGTGAAATGCCTTAAGCTGCTAAGTAAGAATTTCTTACTAAGGCAAAATTACTGACCATACCGCTTCTGCTTGTAAGTTTTGAAGGGACACAGCTGGTCCTGTGGCCCACTCTGCGAAAAGTAAGCAGTGGGCCCCACTACTTACTTTTAGCAAAAGCTTTTTATAAAATATAACATTTAATGTTATACAGCACTATTTTTGAGAAATTATTCAACAACCAAAATACGTCAATTTTGTACCTTAAAGACGTCTAAAATGGACGTAAAGACGTATTAAAGATGTCTTTAAGAATCGTCTTAACCACGTTAAGGGGGACGTTTTTACGTTTTTACTAACACGTTTTAATTACGCCCACAAAATACGTCATAAAAATGTAACATTCCAACGTTGATAACTCGTATTATATACGTAAAAAAACACGGTTGAAATATTACCAAAATGTCACGTGTTTTTCACGCTTTTCTGTTTGCTGGGTTATTTAAAATAACATTAAAAATAAAAATTGTTAGGTTAATAGTTTATGTAAAGAAAAAAAATCGCTTTTAATTGTTTATAAAAAATAGAAGTTATGGTTCAATATTTATCGTATAAATTAAAACACGCAAAAAATTGAATTAAAAAAAATTTAAACGCACACCTCTTAATATTTTTATTGGTTAATCAATGCCTGATAAAAATAACTTACCAGAAGTTGTATTTCTTTAGCAACTAAATCTTTGGTACTCTTTAATTCATCACAGTTGTCAGTAAGTCTAAGGGTTGTTAAGAAAATATCGCTGGGTAGTGAAGAATCCCGAAGACACTTAAAATAAATAAAAATGATGAGGTTTAAACCCGTTTGGGCCCAGTGGTTTCACTGTGAAACCACCTTTACTTTAATTTGTCGTAAATATTTAATATTCGAAAAAATACCAGGAAATAATTACTGGAAGTAAATGTTGACTGCAGTTTGTACGATTTCTCTAGGTGGTTTAGCCGGAAGACCACTTGACCTTATAGTTTGTATTTTTATTTTATGAAATATCACTCAAAGTAACAATTTGTTTTTTTATATTTAAAAACCAGTCGTTTAGATCAACCACTGTTTATTTCTTTTAGTTTATATTTGAACCCCAGTGGTTCTTTGATAGGTGGTTATCTATTTTTTTCTGATAAAAAGTTAAAGAAGAACTATTTTTTTTATTAAAGTTCGTCAGTTTGAAACCATTTACAGAAATAAAATTTCGTCTAATTTTGAAAACAATGATTTGGGTACAAAGGGGTTAAAACAAGTATTAATAAACTTACCAATAAAATAACGATTTGATTGATGTAATCGGGATCAGATACCATGGAAAATAAAGGCCTAACTACACAATTAGCAAAAATTTCTCTTAAAACAAAGGTCAGAGGTTTGCAATCAAAATCCTCCTCGGGCAATAAAATGTACAATAAAATCTCGATAATCTCACTTAAAAACTCCTTCTCAGTTGTTAAATCAGTACACAACTTATCCCTACAAATTAAGTCTTTCTCCATCTGCCGTTCCAACTCAAAAAAATGATCTTCCAGCGTTAAGTGTTTGTCTGATGAAGAGTAAAATTTCGAATTTCCCACGTTTTTTTCCGTCTCCCTTTTTATTTCCACCGATTTTCCGTGGTACCAACTGACGTCGGTCTCGCTCTTGTTTCTTTTGTGAGCCAGTTTGTGTGGGGAATTTTTTTCCTTCACAGGGGAATCCCTGGGGGATTTGGGTTTTTCCAAAAGTTTCATTTTGGCTCTTGCTTGCTTGTATATTTTCAAATGGGTAGCTGCATCATCCACAAGTCTTGTAGTTAAGTAAGGAATCCAATCTATTTCCTTAATCCTACAAGTAAAAAAAAAATCGAATTAAAAGTATTAAAACCATTTTTACTTCATAAAATAGTTGATAACCACCTACTTGTTTGATATATTTATCGCAAAAGTTTGTGCTGTTTTCCTGACAGCCATTTCAGGAAACTCCGTATCTCTAGATATAACATTGTACCATGAAGTAATATAATCTCTTATAATGTACCCTAAAATCTCTTGCAATGAACTGTCAATAAGTTCGCTGCCTGTTACCCGACTATCCGTCTTTTGTACTCTTTTAGGACTAGCTAGCTGACTCACAAATTGCTTTAATCCGCCCTCTGTTATAGAGGCTGCTGTTAGAGGACATTTTTTTAGGAAACTATCTGTTTCGTCTTGATTTACGTACAAAAATGTTAATACACTGAAAAAAGGGTGTCAAGAATATACAGTTTATTAAGTTTACACACTAAACCATAAAAATAAAATGCTTACCCCAAAACTAGTAATAGTACACTAGTTAATATAGTAACCAACCAAAAAAGGCCGAAACTGGTTATAAACAGAATAATTATCAAGCCTATCCATCCTACAGCGTTAGTTTCCATTGCTGACTAATAATATCAGATTAAGAGCATTATTTTTGCATAATTAAGCTGATAAATGGAAAAACTGTGTCACCAACATTTTAAAACTTACTTATCTAGCAAACACGTTCATGGTATAAATACGATTTAAATAAACAATCAGCCACATAATTAGATACAATTGAACACCAATAACAACAAGTTTATTATCATATTCTACGTAAACGTCATTATTTCGAGGTTATGGGCGAGAGCTTCGTAAGCACGCCACCAGATGGCGACGCATACGCGCGCGAAATTCAAAATACAATTGAATGGATAGGGTTGCGCAGATTTCGATTATTTCTCGTTTAACCCCAGTGCGTTTTGTTTTTCTTTGTGGAAAAGTTGTGGAAATATGGCAAAGTTTTTGGCAACAATCAAGGCTATTTTTACGAGGCTGGTTTTTGCGGCGCATGGCGTTATTGGAATTTGGCAGGTTACGATTTTCAAAAAGAACGATTTTTATTGGTATTTGAGCTCGCCGATTTTGTTGCTGTTTTTTGAGGGGATTTTCACTTTGACCATCAAGCGAAATCAAGAATGGAAATGGTATGTTAAGTAGAAGGGACTTTAATTTAAGCAACAAATTTTTTACTTTTAAAAATAAACCAATAATAATTATCTTTTATAAATTATATAAGCCTATATTTTCTACCTGGAACTATTACTTTTAACATTATAATCACATAAAAAATTACAGAGTTTAAAGTATTTTAATATATTTTTAGTATAAAGTTAAATTATATAAGCCTATATTTTCTACCTGGAACTATTACTTTTAACATTATAATCACATAAAAAATTACAGAGTTTAAAGTATTTTAATATATTTTTAGTATAAAGTTAAATTATCGAAACTTAAAAAAACTTATTTTTAAATGTTTTAGGGCGTTTGTTAAAATTATTTTTTTTTACTTTTATATATATATAGAGGTAAATTTAGTAATATCGCATTATTTTGTCCCTAAGAATTCTTAGTAATGTAATTGACATTATTAAATCATAAAATCATTGAATAATTAAAAATTAATCCCGGCGCATCCGCCATAATTTAAAATGTAACTTATTTTCATTAATAATGTTAAACTTAAAAATGAAAAGTGGATAATTTCCAATGATCCATGCTTAAAATGTATAAGGCATTAAAAAATGTTAATATGTATTTTAAAGATAAAAACACACATTAATAAACTTGGTAATAATCCTGTTCATTGCCGAATCGTGATACCTAAAATTTGTATAGAAAGACGCCCCCAATTTGTGTTCTATTTGCCCTATATTCAAATATAAAAGCCATGAAATTAGGAGTCTGTCATAAAAAGTGACAATCCCTTCGTTAAACCGGAAACTGAATGAAAAATGAGGCCACTTATCAAATTTGCAAACACATCGATTGCTAGAGTATTATTTTTATTGTGTTTTTATTCGTCTTGTTATTTTTGTTAAATTTAGGGTAAATATCTACGTGAATAAACTTAAGTAGTCGTAATAAAATTTTAAATTGAGGAAATAGTTAAAAATTAATTTTATTTTTTTTAGGGTAATTGTTGGTATTTACATAAAATTTGCCAAAAACCAAAATAGATATTTATTTCTAAATTACTAAAATAATATTTAAATCATTTTCGAGTTTTGGAGATTCAAATAGATTATGAAATTGTGATTTTAGCAATATGCACATTTATATATTTATATATTTGGGGCTGATAGTTTATGATATATTAATTATTAAAAGTGGAAAATTTATGGTTTTATTATGGGGTTTTGATAAAATTAAAAAGTGTTTATAATAGGAAATGTTCAAAAACTTTCTAAAAATTTTTAATTTCAAGGTCAAGCTTTTTAGTTTATTATTGTTTTTGTTATTCTACAAATAGCAATTTAAAACAAATATTCACTAGTAGATAAAAAACTAAAGTGAAGTATCTGTCTCTTAAGCGTTCTCCAAATATTTCGAAGTATTCAATTATGGGCCATTTAATGGAAACACAGAGAATTTAAGTTTTAATTCTTATAGGATGTGGCAATAAAACTAGAACACAACAAGAAGTTTGCAATTTATTTAAGTATCCAGCTCGACCTATTACTCGTGCTACGGTTAGTAAAATTGAGCCGACGACGCTTTTCTAGCCCTCGCGCTAACGCGCTCGGGCTCGAAATAGCGCCTCGGACCATAAAAACCTTATTATGCCCTTAATACATAAATAACTATTATGACCAGGTTAGCGGTAATTTGTCGGCCATTTTTCATTTTTGCATAACTCTCTTATAGGCGCATAAAGGCAGATGAATTTTTATAAAGTCGGAGCTGGAGGTTCATATTTTCGAATGCACTATGTGGTTCTGGGCAAGTAATTATAAATTTTTACTTATATTCCATTTATTATTTGTAATTACAAAACTTGAGAATTTGCTGGTTAAAAAACGCTATATTTTTGTCAAAAAATCCAAAAGAGATTTTAAAGTTGTATTTGTACTCAACTTTATCCCTGCTATAAATTTTTTACACTAATTTTCACTATTATATTTACGCAACACCTTTTTTACACGAAAAAGACAAGAATCCGAAAGTAAGAGTATTTTTGAAAATTCATTCATGTATTTGTTATAACGCAACGCATACGCAGTAAATTTTACTTCGCAGTTTAAAATCTTAGGTAATAATCTGTCACAAACAATAAAGAGGCATCAAAATACGTTTTTAAAGTGTTTTAAAAATTGTATTTTTGCCGCGTAAATTTGCCTCTCAGACCACTGTGTACCGGCTAAAAGTGAATGTCTTTTTTGGAAATAAAAATGTTTTAATCACGAACTTTTAAATTTAATATTTCCCAAAACTATCATCCCAAAAGGTATACCTGTGCTTATTGCATGTGCTGCATTTTGGTATTATTTTCTCAAACAAATAATTGATTGAATTGTATTTATCTGCAGGTTTTGCCCTTCGGTATTTTTGTATCTATCTAGTATAGTTCCTGCAATTTGGCTTTTAGAATTGGATAAAGTCGACAGAAGGTTAAAAGCAAAAGAGGAAACTTTTAACATAACAGCAGTGGCTGGGGCAAACTTGAAGGAACTGAATAATTTGATAGGAGTAAGTTTAACCATTAACCCAGGAAGTATCTCTGAACTTTATTTCTTTTATTAAAATAATTTAAAATTAAAAACCTTACTTTTCTTTAAATCGCAATATTTTGTTTACAGTACAAGCTTCCAGAGATCTCTTTAAGCACAGAAACCTGGATAACATTAATAGAACAATTTTTAATGTTGATCCTTATTATTGGAAGGTGGATGTTGCCAAAAGGAGATTTAACAAGAGATCAGCTGAGTCAACTGTTACTGGTTTATATCGGTAATTTGCTAAATACACGTAAGGTATTTTGTGAAATAAACTGGACACCCACTCTTCCTAATGTGTTTTTAATAACACGCAGTTTTAAAAATATCCTAAAATTTATATTTCGAGAGTAAAATTTATATTCTCAATAATAATTCCATCAAAAACATAGGAAAATAACCGAGTTTAAAATAATAATTGTTTTCAATTTTTCTATATACATATTTCCCCAAGTTAAAAGGAACAATACTTATTTTTAATTGAGTGTTTTAAGAAATTTGATTTTTCTTAGTATAATTAATATCTCATTTTAATTATTTATTTAAGTTCAATATTTTCGACGAAAAAAAATATCTTTATAAATTGTATTTAACTGAAGCAGCTTAGGAATTTTGGCAATAAGTTTTAAACAAAGAATATACAAACCTAGACAAAGAAAATCCAAAATATATTTTTTAGTTCAAACAAAACCACGTTAAAGATCATAAAATGTATCTACAATTCTTTCTGTCCAGTATTCAAAGGCCTACTGTGAATAAAAAAAAATATGCAAATCTCTTTGACAATCAAAAATGTTAAAAAAGATAAAGATAAAACCAAGACTTAATTAAGACTTAAAGAATAAATAGTCAAAAATTTTTTTTTTTATTTTTATTTTTTCTAAAGCGCATTTAAAATATGAAAGTATTATGTACTACTTCATCAAAAAAAAAATCTCCCATTGGTGAATCAAAATCCCTTACAACTATCTCTTTAAGATATCAATTAATATATATGGGGTATTCCATGCCAAATCGACCACTTTTGAAGTCATTACAGTCGCAGCTTAAGCCTATAAATTGAGAATATAATACCTTAAAATCGTTGAATTGCAAAGTTTGTGGAAAAAACAAAAATTTCATTTTTGGAAATTAGACATTTTTTTTTCAATTAAATAAAAAAAAATAGAAAAAAAATCGGCCCACTCTGGGATTGGCGGGAATAATTGCAACATTAGGATTTGAGAAAAAAAAAATAAAAATGGCAAACTTCGCAAAAATAACGATTTTATTAAAAAAAAAACGATAATTTTTGTTGATCATGTTAAATTTTTTTTGTCTATTTCGAAACATTCATTTTAAAACAAAAATTTCAAAAAAAAGATACTAAAAGGTCATTTTTGAAAAAGTTATGGCTATATTTATAGTAATAATATTCAGACCCCTAGGGGCGACATTTTATTTTCCCAGTGGCGGCTCGTGGGTGTACAGGAGGGTGAGGTTACATAAGGTTAATTTTGTCTAAATACGAATAAATTTCCACGTCACCCGGGAGGTATTATTCTGCGACGCGTTGACCTTTTTTAAAATGGAGCCGATAGCACTACTAAACCAAAAAATAAACTCTAAAAAAACAAAACAAACAAAATATCACATCAAATACTAGTTTTAATCTTAAACTTAAAAATATAGTCTTAAAAAAGTTAAAAATAAATAAATTAATCAAAAAATAAAAATAAAACTAAAAAGTCGACCCCTACCTAAGTATTAAAAAATATAAAATACTATAGTATAGGTATATACGTCTATCTTTTAAGATTGAAAATTTATCTATTATTTGGTCGTAAAATTGTGGGTCTGCAGTGAGATTTAAAAGTAGTTCTAAATTTTCAAACCGCGTCTCTAATTGAAGAATTATGCAATCTATTAAATTTGCTTAATAAAAACTGCTAAATCTACCTTAGTGTGTTCCCTACAATAATTAAATAAGAAATTTTACTAATCGAGACAAAAACTATAAAAGATCAGCCAAAAGTTTTAAATAATTTAATCTGAATCAATACAATAACGTGCTCTACAAACGCTAGGCATCCCACCATAAACGGACCACCAATCAGAACAAACCAAGCTAACTAAATTTCGCCTCATCTACGGTGTTTATTCGCAAACTTACGGCGATATTTTTGTTGGTGAGTCATTTTCGCTTTCAAGAGGTAAATGGGAGCTTCCGAGGCTGTGAAAATTTCGCCTCTGTCCAAGCGACTCTCAACGATGCACGTTAACTTGACGCGCTTTGCGCCTGGATTTTTATTTACGCTTAATATGATTGATTGGTTTTTTACTTTTTATTGGGTAGAACTGTTTTAAAAATACACTTGTAATAGGCAAAAATATAAATACAAAAAGTCGTTCGTTCCTTAATTTTAAGGGTGATGCGCGGCCTCAGAGGCATACCCTGACGAGCCGCCACTGTATTTTCCATAGATATACATTAACCATAATATTATTTGAAAAATTATAATTATATAGAGTTATTTATAGTTTGAGTTGACTGAATTAAGTCAACTTTTCAACTCTTAAGAGTTGAAGAGTATTTAAAAAAGGATAAAATAAAATAAGTAATCAAATTTTTCCGTTTACCTTAAAAAATTCCCAATTTTCTTACAAATTAATCTAATTTTTGAGATTATAATTTGTATTACCTATATCATTTTTAATTTAAATCAAGTTTTAAGTTATTATTTCAAAATATTTTTAGGAACAGCAGCTGATATTATAGAATTCTTTGATTCATTTAAGGATGACAAAATAGCTTCTGAACCAATCCTAGTTCTTCTAACTCTAGCAATATGGTAATCAAACATTTTGATTCAAAATCCAAACGATTAAAAATAGCAAACATTTTTCCTTCAATCAGGTCATGGAGCTTAATGCAGTTTACCGTGGTTTTGACAGCAACCAAATCCAGAAAATCCCGTCTGACGACAACAGGAAACGTCATTAAAGGGTACAATAGATTTATTTCTAAAAGAATATCTAAAAACTTTAAAATGATTGTTTTAGCTCTGGGAGTTGCTGTTCAATTGATGTGTGGGGCATAGCCTTAAACATAACCCTCCAAGATGCCCCATTTTTGGTATTTAGGCTTCTTCTCATCACCCACTTCCAAATTATTTCCTACATGAATGTATTTTTCACTTGCAAGAACACTTTGGTCATTCTTCTGCAAATGTACAGACTTTACGTGGTCTACAGTGAGCACCACAAAGCTAAGAAAAAGGCGAGGAGAGAAGATTTTGAGCTCACGAATATTTCGATTATCTCCAAAAATAATATGGATGATAGAAGAAGGAGACATAAAGCAGTGAAGAAAAGAAGTAAAGACAACGACGAGGACGATTCAAGTGAATCCAATAGCGAAGATGAAACGAAGAATAGAAAAACTAGGTAAGAAATAAATATTAATGATTAAAGGTGGAAGAAGCTGCTATGTAATTGTAGAAAAATGAAAAACAGCAGAAAAGACACTGGCTACTCAACGGGCAGCTCTCACAACAGTTCCAAGAACCACCTAAAAAAACAAAAACACCCATCCTCCAAAGAAAAGGGCGAACCAAAAAAATCCAAACAGCAAAAACTGAAAAGATCCGACAACGAAAACCGAGGCCGAAGAAAATTGGAGGAGGCATTTTCCGAGGAAAGCGAAAGCGATTTTTCACCTCCGGAAGAAAAGAAAATCGTAAAAGAAAAATCGCGAGGCAAAGAGAAGAAGTACGAAAAAGAACCAACCGTGTCCATTTCCACTTCGGACCCTTCGTCAGAATGACGTCATCAATTGGCCATCATGGCTATCTTTTGCTTGTACATGTTTATTTTTGTTTGCTGTTTGTTTTTTATTTATTGTGGTATTAATTCGGAAGGCCTTGTCATAGCAAGAGTTCATAGAACGAATAAAACGCTTATTTAATACAAAATCAAAAAATATGGTAGTATTTTGTGAAATAATCGAAAAGATATTAAGTACAATTATTATTAAGGATTAACGTTTAAAATTTTAAAATATTTAAAAAATTTGAAAATTTTAAAAAAGCTAAAATTTTTAAAATTTAGAAATTTTTAAATTTTGTACAAAATTTTCCCACCATTTTTTAAATTTTGAAGTATTTACTGTGCGAATTTTTCCCACAATTTTTAAAATTTATCCCACTGCAAATGTTTACCATTATTTTTAAAATTTATACCCCTGTGCGAATTTGTCCATTATTTTTAATTTTGAACTACTGTGCGGATTTGTCATACCTTTCATAAATTTATGCCTTTTTTAATTCGGTTTTGATTTGGCAAGTAATTTTTATGGTCAAATTAAACTTTGTAAAAAATAAGTAGATATTTTTTAAATTTTGAACTAATGTGCGAATTTTTTCCACAATTTTTTAAATTTATACCACTGTGCAAATGTTTCCTTTTATTTTTAAATTTTTATCACTGCGAATTTGTCCAATATTTTTTTTTATTTTGTCCTACCATTTCATAAATTTATGCCTTTTTTAATTATGATTTTTTGATTTTTCAAGTAATTTTTATGCTGAATTTTTTTAAAACTTAAAAAATAAGTAGATATTTTTAAATTTATACCACAGAGCGAATTTGTCCACTATTTTTTAATTATGAACTACTGTGCGGATTTGCCCTATCATTTCATAAATTTATGCATTTTTAAATTATAATTTTTTGATTTGGCAAGAAATTTTTAAGGTCAATTTTTTTTAAAATTTGGTAAAAAATAGGTAGGTAGTTATTTTTTAAATTTTGTACTGTGTGTATATTTCCTATTATTTTTTAAAGTTATCCCACTGTGCGAATTTGTCCACTTTTCTTTAATTTTGAACTACTGTGCGGATTTGTCCTACCATTTCATAAATTTGAATTTATTAATTATAATTTTTTTATTTGATTTGGGAAGTTGTCATTTTCTTTAAAGTAGATTTGAAGAATTCTGATACAATTATAACACAAAAAAGAAAAGTATCTTGATCTGTATTATAATGTAGAAAAATTGCTTCACCCAATATAAAATATAAATGTATTATATAAATTAAACAAATAAAATAAATATTTATTTGTATTTTTTTATTTAAATTAGTTAATTTTCTTACAAACTAATATAAAACAATAATCAAAACCATGCGACCTCTAAAACAACAAAAAAAATAACCAGGTACTTCTGAACAGTTTTTAAGCGTTAAATAAGTTATTAAAAACATAATAAAATTGTTCCTAACTTTTACTGGAAGCAATAAAAGTTTCGGTTATTTTGCATTTTTCCACAGCATTCACTATGGAATTTAAAAGAGCCTGGTTTTTTAGCAGCACCAGTTTTTCCTTTTCGATATCTATCACATCAGCATTACTTTTTGATTTACTCACTAGTCGTTTACACTCCTCACTTTCCTTTAAAAATCCTTTGACCAAGTCAAAAGTGGAATCCACCAAACCGGACAAGTCTTTAATGGGAACTTTTTTTTCAATAACGATTTTTGGAAGGCGTCTTCGTCTTAGAAAGTATCTTTTCTTTTTTGCTGGTTTTGGAATCTTCACTAACTTTGGTTTTTTATTCGGTAAGGTCTCTTTAATCTTTCTGATCGTGTAGTCGAATCTTTCGATTTTTTTAGTTTCCTCGTTGAATTCCGGTCTTTCGTGAACATTAATTGGCCATTGTTTGTAATTTTCCACCGCTACTTGTTGCTTCTTAATGTAGGAAGTCATCTTAAATTTAAAAAAATCGTTGATAAATCAGCAGCAATGAAAACAACCCCTGAATATTCATGAGTGTTTTGATGTCATATCATATGGTTATAATCAAACATTAATTTGAATATTGACAGCAGCATAACCAAACAACAAAAAAACGTACGAAAAATGTATTTACCTTTCTATTCATTTCCTCCAGCTCATCTTGCTGCTCCAAAAACGCGAAATCTTCCTCATAATACACTTCCCTTTTCAACTCGCTTGCGGCTCTGGAGTTTCTCACCTTTCTCACCGGATTCCTTCTGGGAACTTCACCGTCAGAATTCTGACTCCCTTTGATGTCGTCGTTACGGTACTCTGCCACGAAAACCACGTCGTCGTCATCGCTCACATTCAGGACGTTTTTCTCCTCTTCAATGTGCGAGGTTACGATGTCTGTCAGATTGTTTACGTCAATAAATTCGGGCTGGTCGTGTTGGTTGTTGTTGTAAAGGATTTCCAGCATGGCAAGACCCTCGTTCACCTCTTTGCAGTTCTCGTTGGAGCTGGTTTGGGCGTTGTAGAACATGGCGCAGTCGGTGGTTGAGTTCTGAGGAAGGACCATCAAAGGGTCGACGAGGTACATTTTGTTCGGTTCGAGGGTTAATGTGTCGGGGTTTCGGAGACGTAGGCTAAGAGACTCTAGGCTCATATCACCAAGTTTATCTGGAAAAACAACAACGCATCATAGCAATGGCGATACGAAATCAATCAATCAGTTAATTGCAGGGTTATTTTCATCTTTAGGGTTTTTTTAATAAATTTTTTTTTAGGATAAAATCATCACGTATTAAATATAAATATAAATTTTATCGTAGTGATTTTGTATGTTTACAAGGGATTTATACTAAAAACCATAATAAATGTCAAATTGGCAACAATTGTAACTTGGATACCATTATGATTGTTATAGTGTCATTTTAAATGTGTTTTTTGCAATTTCGCCTTTAAATCAAGCATTTTGGGAAAAACATGCATAAAGTACAATGCAATCACAATAATATATTAATTCAAAAAGCTATATCACGAGAATATTTTTCTTTTAGCGCAAAAATCATGACATTTTAGTATTTGAATTCCATTTTGTGGAATTTTAGTATTAAATGATTTTTAACTTCTTACCTATTCTGGAAAAACACAAAATTCCTAATTTCTTTATAATTTCTCAAGAAACACAATTTTTCCGAATGGAAAAAATCACTGTGCAAAACAATGGTAACTATATGTTTTCGGTTTATTTATATAATTTTACAAATGTCAAAATTACATTTTGATAACGTAATTTTTCCATGTAATAAGTTTTCTTAAACTAAAGTTTGAATCATAAGTAGTTTTCCACTTCTAAAGTTATTATTATTATACATGAAGTTGATAAAAGCAGAATTCTTGATAAAATCTAAAGCCGAACAAAAACACTTCACACCTAAAAATTAATGTAAAAAAAGACTTAAAATTTAATTTTATACTACAGAAAAGAAACTTCTTGACCTAAAATTGTAAAACCAGTATTTTTAATAATAAACATGGTAATTATTTGATTAGCTTCTTTGATTTGAATTATTGTTCAAAATGATAAACATAATTTGACAAACACTGTCAGTGTAAAAAATATTAGGTTATTTGTTATTTTCTTAAAAGCAATTTTTAAAACGTCAGTGTCAAAATGTTTTTACCCCTATAGGGGTATAAGTATATTCCTGTATATACAGCAAAATTTAAAGGGTGTACCTAGGTTTCACACAACATTAGCCAATCAGAGCGGGCCCATTCCATCGAGAAGTCGACAAATAATTTACTATAAAAAAGAAATTATACTACAAACATTTTTTCTAAATGTAAGAATACCTTTATTCTTAAAAAAATTGAATATTGAGTGATCACTTGATTTAAGTATAATTTGTTTAGGCTACATTTCTTTTAAATATTAACCTATCCTTAAATTAAAAAGACTGTATTTCCTAGCTTAAAATCAAGTACAGTTGAAATGAAATAATATTATTCTTAATTTAAGATTAGACCAAATTTTGGAAAATTCCCTCTATTCTGTCCTTAAAGATATAAAACTATACTGGATATATATATTTATTCTAAGATTAGTAAATATTGGTACGACTGGCCTATTCTTAAAAATATCCCCCAATCACGAAAGTGTCCGACATTTTGGAAGATTGTTTCTTGAGTTAGTTAATATTTGGTTTGGAATTATAAAAGAGCTGTTAAATTAGTGGAATTTGATAGAATTAACCACCAAATGTATGTGTAGGTTATAATTATTACATAACTATATTTATGTGTGTAGTATTATGTATTGAGTTTTAGATGTTGGAGTGATATATTATACACTCAGAGAAATATCATGTCATAAAAAGCATATGAAATTATATTAATTTAATTAATCGGGTAAATTTGATTCAAATAGAAAAATTTGTAGTTTTATATTCATTTACGAACAGTTTTACAATGTTTTTAAACACTTTTAAAGTGTACCCTCTTTAAAATATATATACAAAAAGAAATCTAATTATTTCAATGCCTTTCTCAACGTTGTTTTAAAAATATATGTATTATACAATGTTATACACCTATTAATTTAATGGGACACACCAATGACGCCATACATAAATTTTGACCTTACAATTTGAACTGGGATGAAATGTGGAAAAATCGAATCTATGCAACCCCCAAAACTAATCTTTAAAGGGATTTTGCTAGTTTAGCTCTAATAATGGAGATATACAGGGTGTTTCTTTTAACTTGAGGCAGCTCAATATCTCAAGAAATACGCATTTCACGGAAAAATGTCTTAAATAAAAGGTTAATGTGACTAAAGGGGACATTATTTGGTGCTACCGCTAGCCACCCCCTACCCCTCCTTAAGGGTGAAACGGGGGGTAACTTTGGAAAGTCAAATGGAATGACCCGATTTTTTTCACAGAGTTTGGTAGTACATAAAAAATAAATAACTTTTATTTAAAACTTTTTTCAATTTATCAACAGATGGCGCTGTAATTCAAAATTTAAGAAAAATGAGTTTCCTTGTAAAATGTATTATTTGAAACGTTTGCAAAACAAAAATTAACATTAACAACAATAGTCGGCTATGAAAACAATTTATAACAAATGTTCGAAATGTCGTCATTCCATTTCAACACATTTTTGAATGCGGGTAATGAATTCTGGCAAACAACGCGCCAACATGTCGGGCGATATCGCCTGATCCGCTCCACCATGTCCTCCCAAGTTGTAGGAATTGCAGCGTAAACTTTTTCTTTCAAGTAACCCCACTGGAAGAAGTCTGGTGGCGTAATATCAGGTGATCGAGCAGGCCAAATTACTGGACCACGTCTACCGATCCACCGCGGTGCACCGGCCATTGAACTCCCGATCCAACACCTCTCGAGCAATTGTCGAATAATGTGCAGGACAACCATCTTGCTGGTACCACATGTTTTGGAGCCGTGCTAGTGGTACATCCTCCAAAAGCTCCGTCAGATCGTTTTCTAGAAAATTCCGGTACTTTTCGCCATTTAATGCACCGTCAATAAAGAAGGGTCCGATTAATCGTTCGCTTAAGGTACCGCACCAAACGTTTACCGACCAGGGACGCTGGTGCTCCACTTGGTGTCGAAATGGAAGGACGACATTTCGAACATTTGTTATAAATTGTTTTCAGAGCCGACTATTGTTGATTTAATGTTAATTTTTGTTTTTCAAACGTTTCAAATAATACATTTTACAAGGAAACCCCTTTTTCTTATATATCCATTATTCGAGCTAAACTGGTAAAACCACTTAAAGGGTTTGTTTTGGGGGTTGCCTAGATTCGATTTTTTCAGATTTGATCCCAGTTCATTTTTTGTGTTGCACAGTGTTATTATCGTTTTGAATGATTCTACAACATTTTTTCTCTCAGTGTAGGTATAAAAACAATTATGTATATTTTATCCTATCTATTTTTCTTTATCAATTGAAATAATTATTGCTTGACAAAAATTATAACATTTGTTTAAAAAAATACTTATTCTAAAATTAAGCCTAGTTCATATTAGTCGTTTTTTCGCGTAAATACCATGAAATACTATGGTCATTAAACTTAACCTTGGTTAATAGTTAAGGCATTTTTGCGTTTAGAGTGAGTTCAAAAATCCTATAAATCCTATAAAATAATTATTGCTTAACAAAAATTATAACATTTGTTTAAAAAAATACTTATTCTAAAATTAAGCCTAGTTCATATTAGTCGTTTTTTCGCGTAAATACCATGAAATACTATGGTCATTAAACTTAACCTTGGTTAATAGTTAAGGCATTTTTGCGTTTAGAGTGAGTTCAAAAATCCTAACTATGACGTCACAAATACCAGACCATAAAACTATATCACTGAGCTAGTTATTCAACGTGGTTAATAGTCTTTCTCTTTTTAATATATTTATGTAGGAATAATGTTGTGTGCTAAACATATCTTCTCCAAAACATACCGCCAACCTTCGTCTTTTTCTTTGGGGTTCCTTTCTAAATTTTGAGTTTCACAATAATAATTTTCGTATAAACGTTAAACACTGTTGGATTTTAGTTATGGTAAACAACAGGGAAGAACTGTTTATATATAAAAAGAGGTATAGAAAAGGTAGGTATAAGAACTAGGGTTCATAGAAAAAGAATATACAAGGTATAAGAAGAGGCAAAGAAATTTATTTACACCTGTAAAAGCATAGAAATTAAATATAAATAGGTAAAAACACATTTCAAAAATTATAGGTTATGAACAAGTAAACAAATGTCAAATGTTAGAAACCTAACCATGGTTATATGAATTAACTGTGACGTCATGACTTATTTAACCGTAGTATTTCATAGTATTTACGCGAAAAAACGACTATTTTATTTGAGGGTGCTTGCATTTAAAATAATATGATAGTTTTTCTTGAAATAAGAATAAGTTTACCCTTGCACCTAACATTGAAATTATATGATATAATATATTTATTTGGATATAATTTATATCCAAATAAATATAGGTTAGTTCTTGCATTTAACTCCCTATACCCTTCAAATAAGTATTAATTTAAATTACAAATAAGAATAAATCAATCCTTAAATAAAAAGTATCTATACTTGCGGAATGGTGAGATGAACATAAACTTGTACTGAGATGATTAATCTTTAATATAGAAAAGCTTTTTTTCCGTGTAGTTTTTAAGATTTGCTAAATAAAAGTATTGCTAAGTAGAAAAGTGTTGCTAACTTAGGAATCCAACATTTAATTTTTTTTCAACCTTTATTTTATTATGTATTATAAAAATCTCAATATTAAGGATATTAACTTTTATGAGGAAACCGTTTTAAATCAAATTCCTGCTAAAACTGACCTAACTTCAACCGAATCATTCTTCAAAGCAAAGAAAATATTCGTGAATGATTGAATGATGAATTAATAACAGGATATGCGAAAATATGCTGCTTATTTAAATATATTGTAAAGTAAACGACCAATTTTAAAAACAGATTTACTAAAATAGTTCAAAAAATATTTGGCAACTATAGTACGTATACGTACGTTTAACTTTAAAAATTTGATCAATTATTGATTTAACCTTAGAAATATTGTTGTAGCTATTTATATTAAATATATAAATATAATGTTTGCTTAATTATATTCGTTGTGC